TTCCTGGTTCATCACTTGATGTCACTCGATAGATTCTTCGTTTTACTATACCTGTTGTCAAGGTGTGTGGTATGCTGCTCTTGTGGGACAGCAATTCATACTCCTCTCGAGATTTTCGTCTTCACATCTATGACATGACTTCGCCTCCTTCGCCATACATGAAGCGACCAAGGACCCTACGGCGCAGCGCTACAGGTGTTTGGGATGACAGCGACTGCGACCATGATACAACCCTCAAGATATTGAAGACTATACAGGGGTCTGCTGGTCGTTGGACGATAACAGATTCTCATTTGAGTCCTAACAACGAAAGGCAAGTGATTGTATCTTTCTTGCAGGTCATGCTTACGTTCTCATAGAATGATTTATTCGTCGATTGTAAGTGGAATGGCTCAGTAGTTGTCATCAACTTCAACAGAAATTAGTCACCCACGGTGTATATGACAAGCACACTCGACTCATCAGTTACTCAGACTCCCATCAGCTTTCAGGAACCTAATCACCGCCAACGGGCTCGCACACACTGGGGCTGGGATGATGAAAACTCGTTTGGCATCTGGAGCTGCAGGTTCTCTGCAGATGGAAATGAGGTCGTGGCTGGTGGCAGCGGTCAAATATTTGGTAGACTTTATTTTATTTTTGAGCCTGGATTTCTCACAGACGCTCTACCTCAGTTTATGATCTCTTGGCTGACCGTAGGACAGTCAAAATTATTGCACACGAAGACGACGTAAACAGCTGTTGTTGGGCTGACACTGCATCGGGGAATGTGCTAATCAGTGCCTCTGATGACACATTTTTGAAAGTTTGGTGAGTTCACGCAGGCTCATCGACAATTATTCTACTGATATGAGCAAAAGGGACCGGCGTTCATTAGGTGCATCACAGAAACCGTCAGGAGTCTTGGTGGGACACACAGAAGGTATCACCAACGTCTCGGCGAAAGGTGACGGTCGTTATATCATATCGAACGGAAAGGATCAGGCACTACGGTTGTGGGATTTGCGGAAGATGTGCAGCAGCGAGGACTTTGACAATGGTGCTAACCGCGACTATAGGTCACGTGGATTTGATTACCGGTGCGTTTCACTCAGGTCTTAACTTGAGTGAGAATGAACCTCAACTGTCTTGCTAAGCTATGGCCATTACTCGAAACCAAAACATGCTGCACATCCGCGTGACTGTAGCGTCATGACCTACAGAGGTCATGCTGTCTTACGCACACTTATCCGATGTCACTTTAGTCCTGCTGAGACGACAGGTGGACAATACATTTACTCCGGTTCGGCAGACGGGAAAATACACGTCAGGGTCCAGTTACAATTGACTTCCTTGTATCTAACACACGTTACTTCTAGATATGGTCGCTCGACGGACGCATAGTCCAGGTTCTGGATCGCTCGAAGACGTCGGCTATGACACTTGATCCCTCCGCGGAGGAGTGCATACTCCCCAATAGTGCTCGCAGCACGGTTTGCGTGCGAGATGTCAGCTGGAACAGCAATGTCAGCCCCATCTTTCAACCCTTGGGTCGATTTCGCTGATAAGGATTGTCACAGGAACCAATGATGATGAGCGCTGGTTGGGACGGGGGTCGGTCACCGCCGAAGAGTGTTGTTGCGCGTCATGAATGGAGAGGTCTCTCTAAGATGTCGTACGGTCTGGAGGATTGGATAGAGAAGCAGAACATAGAGCGCAACGAACGGGCTACGCGTACCAGACAGACATTACGAGTTCCTGGTGCATTTGATGTCGAAGAGGATGACTAGAATGTCAAGGACAGGCGTGACGCCTGTGATATTTATACCTTCACCTGGATATTTACATGTTGTATTGTACAGTCAGTCATTGTATCGCGTTCACGGTACCAATTGTTTGACGCTTGGTTCTACCGCATTGTTGTGGACTGGTCAGTCTCTTCTGCTTACAATGAGCTACATGTCACGGACATGCGCATTTATTCTACTGGAGCTCCAGTGATGGACTCAGTAGTTTATCTGGCCGAAAAGGACAACAAGGCAAAAGACATTCAACGCCAGACCAGAGATGCCCTTCGATGTACATCTTGTTGCAACATTGACTGTGCCTCTGGAGGGAGTGCCTTTGTATGAGAGGCTGGCCGCCGCTGATTGGACTGCAGATTCGGAGGGGTTTCTCGACCCATGTAGCGTTGCCACTGTCGAAAGCATCCATATTCCCTGCCTCCTTGTCATGAATACATTGTCAGTGTCAGTCATGATGCGAGCCGTGGGATTGTGTGAAACGTCGGAAGAGTAGAATCAGCAAAAACATCTCGATGGACTCCCAAGGTGGCGTACCCTCTTGAGCTTTCGGGTCTTGGAAGGCACGAGCTGATACGCTGACAATTTGAAAAGAAAAAAATTCGTCATTGTTCTCATGTATTTCCACTGGTGATTTAGGTTGAACACATGACACTCCAGGCCGGAGGCTGCCCTCGCAGTCATGGTATATGTAAGCGAGAAGCACGAAGTCGATCGTGTCATCGAGACCCCGGCCCGGTAGTTACATAGTGCAAGTGAACAATCTCTACACCTGCATGCGATACAGGATGCCAGAGGTTAACGATTTGGAAGTGACTGCGAAGAAGGGAGGGAACTTCTGTTGGTGGAGGCGCCGGAAGTGGAGGTCGTCGTCGTCTGCATGTCACGAGGGTCGTCAAACCAATTGCGAACCTGCCTTTCGCTATTCATATCGAGGTAAGGTCGACTCGAAGAGTCGTCCAGGTGGAGAAAGGAAGAAGGTGGAGGTAGCGGTTGTGTCAGAAGCCATGGCTAGTTCATTGGCGCTGGAATGTGCATTCTAAGGAATAGCAGAGTTCCTTGGTGATGCGTTTATATATGCCTCCGAGGGTCGAGGAAGCAGTTTGGCTTACATATTGAATCTCCTAGTGTCTGCGTTATCTGGGGGAAGAGAATGTCATATACCGATGGCGTCACTGAACGCTGTTGAACGTTGAACCACGGGATGAGCAATATGAATAGTTCGTAGAAGTTGACTAACAAAGTCTTGACGCCAGTGATCTCCGCATTTTGATCCGGTGAATGAATGGCTAACTTTAGTCAAAAGGGCTTCCAACTTCATGATAACCTACCGTATGCAACAAACTTCCACACAACTTTGAAGTCGCAAACAACAAGACAGGCTCTCTATCCGTATCCAGTAGCTGTCGATTTGGGATTTTTCTTGCCCTTCGACAACCACGGCTACTATACCGCCTGGCGCGAGCAGGATATTTGTCCCAGACTCTGACGAGGATTGCACTTCTCGGAATTAGAGCTCCTTGATCATAATACTGACTCGACGAGTTGGAGCTCCCACAGAGTCTCACCGAGATGTTGAAGTGCGGAGTAGGGTACGATTGAGATCGACTTTTCTAATGCGGAGCTTAAAATTGTTTCATGAGTACCTCAGTACCGTACTATCAATGTCTATCATACTATGTGCATTGTGGTACATATGTACTCGACGTTGAAAGTAGATGGCGAATTACCCTGATTTACCCCAACAGAATGCAATGGCCGGGAAACTGACTAAAAAAATGTCCCGAAGGTTAAAGGAGACAGAATTTCTCCAAGACATAGTTGGCTGCGCAGTGCTCAGGCTGAGAATGCAGCTGAGCCTGCGAAGCAGCATAGAACAGAAAATCATGCACTATGTATCATGCAATGGAGAACGACAGCCTGTGGTACCTTCCTAGGTGAAACCAGGAGCTTTCCCTTTCTGGCGCACTTGCTGTGTGATCGCCCCGCCCACCCTTGACCACACCACCATGTCTGCTAATGCTCAGCTCTATGGATTTCCTCCAGGATACTTCGTGATTCGTAACCTTGCGAATGGTAGGCTGTGGGACGTGTGTGGAGATGATGTAGAAGATGGCGCCGAGATCCTACTCTGGCCAGAGAAAGAGAAGTCTTTAGTTGAAAGTAAGTTTGCCTTCTCTACGTGCACAAGTGAACTCTAACAAGACATCAGCCTTGAGAAATCCGGAAGCTAATAATCAGGTACGTATGTCACTTCTGTGCAAGTACTAGTATTGACCACTGAATAAAACTTGCGCCATCCAGGTATTCTTTATCGATACGTCGGGCGCTCTTTGTTCGAGATCATCAGGACATGCAATCGATATCGAAGGTGCGACGTCAGCGTCATTCATCTGCTGTAGAATCTTACAGTAGATGTAGAGGACCGTTTGGTCATTCGGCATCGCCGACCCATCTCCCAGCCATATCCAAATGAATACTCGCATCCTTTACCGCGTTTCTCCTACTCCCGAGAAACTCAGCATATCACTGCATCTTTCCAGTGTGATCCTGCATACCCTCCGCCAGCCGCGCAAACTTCCACCGCGTGGATGCGAAAGACATATGTCCTGTCATCAATTCCAATGCCCAAACCAAAGTCACTGTTAGATAACGCATCGGCTTTCTTAAGTTCCGCGGTCATAACACCAATTTCTTTTTTCTCTGGTGGCACAGCACAGCGGAAGGCAACTCCTGAGGATGTTTTCAGTGGGGATATAGACCTCACCGAAGATGAAACTCTAGAACAGGATCGAGGCGTAGAAGGCGACGCAGATGACTCCTCCGAGCTCCTCAGAAAACTCAGAGTTTTGACGATCGGTCAGCGGGATGCTCCTGCAGAAAGTGAGAGTGCTAGAAAACGCCGTCAATGGCAGATTTTGCCTTTGCGTACGTCAGCTGCTCATCGGAGACCGTTGAAGTGACTGTAATTGATATTCGTATGGTGCTTGTTTTTCATTTGGTTTGAGCGCACATACTTTGTATTTGACTTGGGAAACTATGTCGTGATGGGCATTGGTACTAGGTAGTTCTATGACTGGCAGAAACTTGTTGAACATCTATTTACAAGCTCACTGCGTACTAAGTAAAGTACCCCGCAGCGAATCACGTGCGTTTTAATTTTTGTCTTACATCATCCTTGTGCACGGGACCCGCATGCTCTAATTTTGTGCATGAATTGTTGGCCTCGCCTCATGCAAGCCTCATGTACATCCTTCTTTAAGCAGCTGATCATATCATAGATTGCTTTGCTTGATCTTCTTTGTCAAGAATAAGGTGTCTAGAGCTTTCCTGAGTCGGAAGTCCCATATTGGAGCACATGTCGTTTGACTTCGTCTGTCCGACGGGCCGCCCACTCTGTCCCATTTTCCAGATAAGAATTCGCCAGCCTCTCAGGTCTCAAGTCAACATAGGTCTTCTTCCCAAGGAACAACGTTACCAGAATGGCTTTCAAAAAACTCCTTCAATTTGTAATCAGCGCGGTTTCTATCAAAGCCGTATTCGCGCACCAGATCCCTTTGGGCGACACTATTGAACAGCCTGAGACGTGGTTGTCAAAATATGGTCCCCAGATTGACCAACCTTTCTCTGGACCATTGGCATTTTCTCATATGACTTATTCCCGTTGTCTGGAAGATGAATCCGCGCAGTTTGATATAGCAGTTCTCGGTATGCCTTTTGATACGGGCACATCCTATCGCCCCGGTGCTCGCTTTGGACCCTATGCGATTCGTTCAGGCAGCAGAAGACAGAGGGAGGCTCGCGGATATAGTTTGGCTTGGGGCAATAATCCATACGAGCAAGGATCAAAAATAATTGACTGTGGCGACGTGCGCCTTTTTCAGTGACAAGTAATTGACATGAGCAACTGACGAGAGCAAAGGTTCCGATCATTCCATTCGACAATGTTCTGGCCATGGACCAAATGGAAGTCGCGTATTCTACTTTGTTAAATCGTCCTATCGCCTCCAGCCAGTCTGTTTGGGCGAATGGTGCCCAACTTGCGAAGGACGGACGTGAGCGCCCACGGATCGTCAGGTTTGTCAAATTTAAACATCTACAAGCAAGCACCTGACATCATTCGAAGCCTTGGAGGCGATCACACAATCGTGCTTCCAATTCTTCGTGCTCTTAACAAGGTATATGGACCGGTTTCTGTTATTCACTTCGATGCGCACCTCGACACCTGGAATGGATATCCGGGAACAGTGACTGAGCAGTCGCGCGTTACACACGGAACCTTCTTTTATGTAGCTAACGAGGAAGGCTTGGTTTCGAACTCGAGCATTCATGCTGGTATCCGATGCAAATTAGTGGTAAATAAGGTTTTGATTATTATTCCTATTATTTGCAATGAACACCTCTGAATTCAGGGACTGGGAGACATTGAAAATGATGAATCAGTTGGATTCCACTTCATCACGAGCGATGACATCGACGATCACGGGGTTCCCGCGATCATCAAACGCATACGGGAGCGTGTTGGTGACACACCTGTCTACTTGAGGTATGTCTGCTTTACATACTGCTTAGAATGTTACTGACAGGGCAATAGTCTTGATATCGATGTTATCGGTAAGTGATATCCGTGTTGGATTTGCCCACTTATGTTACATATCAAACAGATCCTGGTCTTGCACCTGCTAGTGCGTCTCACCATTAACATGACTGAAACAAAGCTTGAATGTCTGAAATCTAGCGGGTACTCCCGAGGCGGGAGGCTGGACGAGTAGAGAGGTCAAACGAATCATCCGTGGCCTGGCCGGATTGAACTTCGTGTAGGTATCCCAGCTATCATTGGCTCCCATAAGTCTCATACTTTTTTTGCAACACAGTGGTGCCGACATAGTGGAAGTCGCTCCTGTCTATGATCATGGCATGTTTGACAGCAGTCGGCTGTTTGTGACCGGGACTGAGACATTCTTTTACAGCCGAAATCACAGGCACGGCGGCGGCCGACCTTGTCCACGATTTTCTATCGATGTTCATGTCTCAATCGCCTCCCACACCATACGCACTTCCTGGTTCTTGGCTTCGAGATGAACTTTGACGGTTCTTCTTACTTTCCAAGCTATCTTTGTCTGTTCCCTACATCACCACGTGCTAATCAGGTGCTAAGCAGAAATACTTTCAGAGTACGTAACAGTACGTAACATGCAATACAAAATGTTCTCGTCCCCAGAGATCTCTCGTGATTGCCCTCATAAGTTGGCGCTGACGTTGAAGGAACATCACAGGTACTACTGACAATGAGATACCTTCCTCTTGCGCTACTTCCCGTTGTTTATGCACAGCAACATGCCTTCGAAACCAAGCAGCAGGAGCCATGGACAACCAAGTATGGCGCACAGACAGACCTTAGTTTTACAGGACCTCTGAGCTACTCCCACCTACCCTACACACGTTGCCTGGATGATTTGTCGACAACCTTTGACATCGCTGTTCTCGGCATGCCATTTGACACAGCTACTTCTTACAGACCAGGGGCACGTTTCGGACCGTCTGCAATTAGATCTGGCTCCAGCCGTCAATCCCCTGCGAGGGGCTACGCATTGGAATGGATGACGAACCCGTACACCCGCGCAGAAGTGATTGACTGTGGAGACGTAAGTTTCGGCACGTCATAGGCGTCTAAACATATTGACAGCGCTTTAACAGGTCCCTATCAGCCCCTATGACAACGCGTTAGCTGTTGATCAAATGGAAACTGCGTATACCACGCTTTTAGCACGACCCGTGAATGGAACTGCTAGTGCGCGCACCGCCAAATTTGCGCGTGATGGAGTGGAGCACCCTCGTATACTGACATTAGGTGAGCCCCAAACCATGATCTCGTTTGAAAACATGCAATTGATCATCTGGTGGTAGGCGGAGACCATACCATCGTGAGATAGCATGATTCCCCTACATCCCCCGGATTTCACATGTCAATTTATACTTAGGTGCTTCCGATTCTTCGATCTCTTTATCAGGTTTATGGACCTATATCTGTCATTCACTTCGATGCACACATCGACACTTGGCCAAGCGGGGGAGGTTTTTCCACGCAGTCCAGGGTCAATCACGGGACATATTTCACATGGGCATTTGAAGAGGGACTTATGTCCAACACCAGTATTCATGCTGGGATCCGAAACAAACTGGAGGTCAGGGCGTTCCTTGTGTCTCAAGTTGGCTCGAGCTGACGCACTTTGAATCGGCAGGGCCCTCAGATGATCGAGCACGATGAAGAAATCGGCTTTGAGCTCATCATGGCTGATGATATCGACGACCTTGGAACAGATGAGATCGTTAAGCATATCCGACAGCGCATCGGCAACTCCCCTGTTTACTTGAGGTGTGTCCTGAGAAATGCGTCGCTGATCGTAATGTTGATGTTCATTGCCTCCCGCCTCAGCTTTGACATCGACACCATCGGTCTGTAGATGTTCTAATTGATCGCTAACAATTGTGTGCTAACTGCTCTCTGATAGACCCTGGTCAGGCACCTGCAAGTGAGCGCAAATATCACTAGGGCAATTTTGAAGTTATTGATGTCTAGGTAGCTGGCACACCTGAACCTGCTGGATGGACCAGTCGAGAAACCAAGCGAATCCTTCGAGGTCTTGCTGGATTGAATTTTGTGTAAGATTCTCTTCGTCATTCGGGGGCCTGTACAAACAGTTGATAACTCGTATGTAGCGGGGCTGACATTGTCGAGGTTGCTCCAGCATACGATGATGGTAAGATCCATCTCCCGAATTTAGGAACGAGGGGGGCTCACCGTCTAATCCAGCCGGCGAGACCACTGGCATCCTTGCTGCTGGCCTTGCAGATGACTTCCTCACTCTATTGATCGTCGATGAGCCGCCCAAACGGCAAGTAAAACCAAGGCGAACACTGGCTGATGAGCTCTAGAACCCATAGGATGGCTTGTTGTCAGTACTCATGCTAGGTTATTGTTTCAAGGCAAGCCACTGTTTCACAATAGAATACAGAGGGTATCTAAGTAGATAGTCCTACAGTCAAATCTGATACGGTCCATTGATAAAAAAATATGCAGTATAGATATATCAACTCCATGAAATCCTCGTGAAATTGTACATCATATTCAGCTCTTCCGCTGCACAGGCGTTCGCGATGGACCATCCTCATACGTCGGTGGGTTGTCGTTGTACATCTGAGATGGAGGGGACATCACCACAGGGGACGGTGGCCCCCTCGGACCCTTTACACCACTGGTGTTGGCTGGTGGCGGAGAACTCGGCTTAGGAGTTGGACCACGATAATTGGAAGCATAGTATGGGTCCGACAGCTGTGGAGCACCAGTAGTGCTAGGCAGCATAGTTCTGCTCGGGTCGATGAGGAGGCTGGTTGTATGCATTAGCATATGAAGCCGCAGCTGTCACACCCAAAGCATTGTATGAATCTGGGTTAACGGATGGCTGAGTTTGCTGCGGTTCCCAGGGGTTATACGCCGCATGTTGCTGCGGAGGGGTGCGCGCTGTAATTATGTGAGAGATGAACAAGTGCTGCCGAGCTATTACTCACAAGAGCCACCTTCCACATGACCATATGCCTGCGGGGAGTATGGGTCACTATAGTAAGCGCCTGAAGCATTTTGCACTGGGGCAGTGATTGCAGCACCGGGAACGGCATATGAATTGAGAGGCGACATTGAGTGAGTTGTAGATGTCGGTGGATAAGTGCTGGAGGACGTAGTCTGAGTGAGGGTGCTACTCTTCCGGCGTGGCGGCGCCGCATACGGAGAAGTGTTGTTATATTCATCAACAGCGCGTGTGCCGAGAGGAGCCTGCATATAACCTCCACCAGCGTAACCGTTTGCTGATGGACGACGACCATAGGACCCCGTACCGGCTCTTCCGGCGGTTGAGACGCTCTGATTGTCTCGGTATAGCGCACCATCCTCCTCGTCCAAAAATACACCATCCCCCGAGATTCTGGCCTTCAGCGGCTGGGATGGGTCATATTCCTGGAAAGGGGGTAAACCAATTTCGCCTCGCTGTTGTCTTGCTTTTCGATCTACTTCCGCTTTGACAGCGTCAAGGCGCATTTGATCTGCGTATCCATTTCCACCCATACGTTCGTTATCCCTTGGACGCCTTCTTATGCAACACCTTCCAACGCCATAGAAACATCCGCTGAAGAACAGTAGAATCCAGGCGACAAGCGTAATCCATACTGCATTGCCGATGGAAGCAGAGCCACCTGAAACACTGTTCATCCTGGACTTGGCGACAAAAAAGATGACGATGTCAAAAATGAAAGCAGTGAGGGCGACAGTAGCGGCAAATCCTGATATGCAACTACTGAAGCAAGTCATGGCTATTTCACGAATGTGAGCGAGTAGACCAAAGATGGCGGCTACCCCTGCGAGGCCAAAGCCACAATATGCAGGACGAGGGCATACGTGAGCCATTTTACAACTACAGTGGGGATTTGGAGAGCCGTATTATCGCCCACCAAGGCATTGATGTCTACACATGCCAGGGAAGGCAAATGTCAATATGAATGCTACAAGGGTTCAGAAGTTGACTTACTGAGCTCATACCCCACCGTTGCACTAGAACATGAGGCTGTCCCTGAGATATCTGAACAATACCCCAAGGTTCCAAACGTGATGTAACCACTGGTGCCTTCGACGGCAAGGCTTGCCTTGAGGAAGTATATAGATTTTATGAGGGGTACAGAGAAGGATACAACACCCAACAAAATGGTGGCTATGAGGGTTATCAGGAAGCCAGGAGTAGCTGGCCGAATGAAGCTCATAAGGAAAGGGAGGGCGTCAGAAAGATGATATTGCTAAGTTCGTGAAGCGCTAATCAGTCAAAGGAAAGCGCAAAATGTAGGTAGACAAGAAAGGCGGTCACACCGTTTAGACGGATACATAAATGGGAAACTTCCGTGTCGTTATGTGGCTGTGGACCCCTATTTAGCTGTGCTTGCTCTAGGCTGTACCATAAAAAAATAATTTAGAGCAGAGCCCGCCCCAGTACATTGTACAATGCATTGTCTGAATTACAACAAGGATAGACGTCTATAGCCGGGTGTTCATTGTATGGAGAAATCCCTAGTTATACTTGCTTGAAAACGTCACCCGCGCGACCTTCAGAGCCTCTTCAACCTGGGCGACGTTGACCCCAACACCTTGAGCACCATCCTCTTTCCCACCAGCCTTTCCGCCGAGGATATCGCTTACTTTGGATGCCCATATTCGAGCATCGAGACCTCTTGACCGTGCAGACTCAGAAACATAGTTTGCATGTGCGACCTTGCCACCCTCTGCGTCGACACTGAAAACGTAGACCGTCTTACCAAGCTTCTTGCCTTGCATGACGACGTTTTGCAAAATCTGGACATCATGTTGAGCATAATCACCTTTTGTGGACTATTGTTACAACATGCCTTTGCATTACCATCAACCTCAAGAATGGCAAAGTAGACCTCTGAGTCAGGCTTCTCCTCGAAGAAGGTAACCAAAGCGTTCACGGCCTGCCAATACATCAATCGACATACAAGAACAACAAATAGAAGGGCATACCGCCTTGTTTATCGCATTCTCCTTCTCCTTGATTTGCTTGTCAAGCGACTTGCGAAGAGTCGCTAGACGGTCTTTGAGCTCTGCTTTCAAAAGGACCGATATATCTGCCTGGCCAAGTTCCTGCAAAACATAAGTCGACAGACAGTGGAAGAAAAACATCTTACGACCTACCACACTAAGAACCTTGAGCCCGGTATCTTTTTCCTTGCCTTCCGTCGACTCGAGCTGTTCAAGGCGGACCTTCAGAGAATTGGCGACACGGGACGCCTCATGCGCCTCTTGGCCAGTCACAGCGACTATCCTCCGGATTCCCTTCGCAATCCCGGACTCCTCAGTGATGACAAAGTCTTTGATATCACCCGTCTTCGCGACATGAGTGCCACCACAAAACTCAACACTTGTGCTCCGCCACTTCGGGTTATCAATATCCTTCGCGACCTCATCTACATCGTACCCGAGCACGACAACACGCACAGGATCTGGGTATGCCTCGCCGAAGACCGCGCGCAGCCCGGATATCTTATGCGCAGTCTTGAGATCTAGATCCTTGCCATATACCTTTACATTCTTCCTGATCCAGTCAATGCTCATCGACTCAATCTTCGCGAGTTCTGGAAGGGAGATCTGTGCTTTATGCGAAAAGTCGAAGCGGAGCTTTGTCGGTGCCACAAGCGAGCCCTTCTGGTCAATGTGATCGCCGAGCACCTCGCGGAGACAGAAATTGAGGATATGCGTTGCGGTGTGGTTGCTGCGCAGCGGCCAGCGGCGGAGCTCATCATAGGAGGAGATGACTTCATCACCAACAGAGAGTTGACCGTATTTGAGAGAACCGGTGTGGAGGACGTAGCCATTGTATGCCTGAACGTTTGTCACCTCGAAATCGGTGGCGCCGTCGATGACGATGTTGCCAGTGTCATACTCCTGGCCACCAGCTTCTGCGTAGAAGCTTGTGCGGTCGAGGAGCACGCCAAAGTTTGCATCCGCCGGTATACCAGATGATGATGAGATGAATTCCTTGTGATAGTAAATGCTCTTCACTGTAGCAGTGACATTGCCGAGTTCTGCAAAGGTGGTTGAGTAAGGGCGAATTGTGGATAGGAATTCACGCACGAAATTTGAACGAGTCATCTGTTTTGGGTATCGCATCGTTCTTCTCCAATGCAGCGAGATCGTGGACATCAAGCTTCACAAGATCCGCTTTATCCTTTTTGAATGATCCCTTGCTCGCGAGCTTTGAATGTTCTTGGGCATCCTCGAACTCCTTTTCATTGATTCCAAGCCTAAGCTCCGCCGCCATGAGCCGTGTGAGGTCGACGGGGAACCCGTACGTGTCATACAGCCGCCATACGTCTGCACCATTGAGCTCGTTGACACCCAGATCTTTCGTACGTGTCGCGTATTGGTCAAAGAGCTTCTCGCCCCGATCAAGGGTACGTGAGAAGGACTCTTCCTCTTCGTCAAGGATCTCTTTGATGTCGCCTTGCTTCTTTGTAAGCTCAGGGAAGACATCACCCTGGTGTACAAGGTATAAATTAGGTTGAGTGGATGCGATAGATGTGCTTCACTAACCATGGTCTCCACAACCACGGGCATCAAAGAGGAGAAAAATGAGCCGATGGGTGCACCAAGCTTCTTCCTGACATAGCGTGAACCACGACGAAGGATCCGACGAAGGACATAACCACGGCCAACGTTGTTGGGCACACCACCATCACTCAACGCAAACGAAAGCGTGCGTACGTGATCAGCAACGACACGGTATGCAGTATCAATACCATCCACATCATCGTTGCCAAATTTCCCACTGTACGGTCTTGCTCCAGTTAATTCCTGTATACGCGTGAAGATCGGGGAGAACACATCAGTGTCGTAGTTTGAAAGTTTGTTCTGGAGGACTGAGACAAGTCGTTCGAAACCCATGCCGGTGTCGACATGCTTGCTTGGGAGCGACTTAAGTGAGCCGTCATCATCGCGGTTGAACTGTATGAAGACGTTGTTCCATATCTCAAGGACGTTTGGGTCGTCGCCATCGACAAGGTGTGCAGCATTACGTCCACCAATGCGGTCGAAGTGTATTTCACTGAGGAAGATCAACGGAGGGAGATCAGAAATGGGATATACGCACCTACAAGGCCCACATGGTCCGGTTGCGCCCATTTCTGTTGTAGACGCGAATGAGTCATATTGTTCATTGGGTGATAAAACACGCCTTACCCCAGAAATTTCCTTTTGACGCGATAACGTGATCTGGTGAGATACCCTGGCTTAGCCAATGTTGTTTTGCTTCCTCGTCTGTGGGTATTCCATTTTGTGGGTCTCCAGCATAGTAGGTAACATATAATCGGTCTTTGGGCAGCCCGTATACGTTAGTTAATAGATCCCATGAAAATTCAATAGCTTCTTTCTGTAAAATAAATGTCGGCTAGGCCGAGCTATCGGAAAACAAGCACTGAACCTTGAAGTAGTCACCAAATGACCAATTTCCGAGCATCTCGAAGAATGTGTGGTGGTAGGAGTCTTTCCCAACGTCCTCCAGGTCTATATTTGCAATGTTAAAGTGAACGCTGCCTTTTCCATAGACCTGCACGCACCATTATGCTTACCACCTGCGCGGATGCACTTTTGGCTGTTGAAAGCACGCTTCAGCTTGCCTCGCTCGGAATTGGGATCGACAGTACCCAGGAATATGGATTTGTACTGATAGGATGTGAGTTCTGATGCATAAGCCTACGGAATTGAAATGACCTGGTTCATCCCAGCATTTGCGAACAGGAGAGTGGGATCATCATAGGGTACGGTTGAAGAAGATGGAACAAAAGTGTGATCTTTGGAGCGGAAGTAGTTGAAGAATTCTTCGCGCACTTTGCGTGCAGTCCATGGGCCATCATAAGAGGAAGACATTCTTAGAGGTAAAGGGAGGGTAATATGATGAGATGGACGTCTTGATCGAAGGAGAGATGAGTGCAGAAACACACGTCTCATCTAGATTTTGGTTTCCGCAATTAGAATCATGATTCGTATCGCATCTTGACTCGAAACGCATCACGTGGCTGAAATAAGTCACGTATCTACTTTCGTACATAAATTTGGCATTTTCCACACAAATCAGGCTAAACTTGAAGGGAAACTTTGCAACGACAAGGATTACGAATCAAGGACTCATCAGCTCGGCAGCAGACCGGACCCGTGAGTTACTAATAGGGTGCTGTGCAGACTGACTCAGGAGATAACAAGACCTACCAACTGGAATGAACAGGCCATGGGCATCTGTGAACAGGAAAAGTGGATATGATTAACTATGTAGTTACCACACGAGTGCGCAGTACCATATACCACAAGCACTATTAGTAGGTGTGCTTTTAATATCCTAGTCACACAGCATGGTGACGTGACCTGCCCTGAAGTCGATCGATAAGCCAAAGACCAAAAACTTTACTTTTAAGATCAACGAGCCTCAGAGTACGGCCCCGGTGTGCATTTGACTCACCATCCAACTCGTTCAAAAGGATCCCCTTTTTTTTCTTTTTTTCTCATTGCATCCTTGTAAAATCTAGACACGATGGTGTACGTATTCGCTTAGATCTACGTTTCCGATGCACTAATCATCGTGTATGATCATAGTAACTTCACAGTCGGTGAGCACATAGATCGTGCAAGAAAACTCGATCTTTTTCTTAACGATTCTTTGAACCATAGACCAGATTCGTGGGCTCATGGACAAGCCCACGAACATCCGTAACATGTCCGTCATTGCCCATGGTGAGCAAGATCCTGCTGATGATAGCATATTGATCTAATCTAAATTACTTACGCAGTCGATCACGGAAAGTCTACCCTCACCGACTCCCTCGTCTCAAAAGCTGGTATCATCGCTGCAGCAAAAGCTGGTGACATGCGATTTACGGACACACGAGACGATGAAAAGGAGCGTGGTATCACGATTAAATCGACAGCCATCTCTATGTACTTCGAAATGGAGAAGGAAGATGTTGAACTTATCCAGCAGAAGACTGAAGGTAAGTCTTTGATTTTAATATCGCAAAATCTTGCTAATGAAATACTACTTCAGGCAACGAGTTCTTGATCAACTTGATCGACTCACCAGGTCACGTCGACTTCTCATCAGAAGTCACAGCCGCTCTTCGTGTCACTGACGGTGCTCTCGTCGTCGTCGACTGTATCGAAGGTGTCTGCGTGCAGACAGAGACAGTGCTTCGTCAAGCACTCACGGAGCGTATTAAACCCGTCGTTATCATCAACAAGGTCGACCGTGCTTTACTTGAGCTTCAAGTTTCAAAAGAGGACTTGTATCAGTCGTTTCAGCGTACCATCGAGACGGTCAATGTCATCGTTTCGACTTACCATGATGCTGCCCTTGGTGACGTCCAGGTCTACCCAGACAAGGGTACCGTTGCTTTCGGTTCAGGTCTCCATGGATGGGCTTTCGGCCTCCGCCAGTTCGCTGGTCGCTACTCCAAAAAGTTTGGTGTACCTAAAGACAAGCTTTTGGCTAAGCTTTGGGGTGATAACTACTTCAACCCTGCCACTCGCAAGTGGGGTACGAAGAACTCCGATGCCGACGGCAAACCCCTTGAACGGTCTTTCAACATGTTCGTCCTTGAGCCCATCTTCAAGATTTTCGACGCCGTCATGAATTTCAAGAAGGACCAAATCGGTCCCATTTGCGAGAAGCTCGATGTCAAGCTGACATCTGAGGAGCATGATCTCGAGGGCAAGGCTCTCCTCAAGGTCGTCATGCGCAAGTTCTTGCCCGCTGGTGACTCCCTCTTGGAGATGATAATCATCAACCTTCCTTCCCCCGCAACTGCTCAACGCTACCGTGTTGAGACTCTCTACGAAGGTCCGATGGATGACGAGTCTGCCATTGGTATCAGGGACTGTGACCCCAAGGCTCCCCTTGTGCTCTACGTTTCGAAGATGGTGCCCACTTCAGATAAAGGACGCTTCTACGCTTTCGGTCGTGTGTTCTCCGGTACCGTTCGTTCTGGCCCCAAGGTCCGTATCCAGGGCCCCAACTTCGTGCCTGGAAAGAAGGAGGACATGTTCCTCAAGTCAGTTCAGCGCACGGTGCTCATGATGGGTCGTTACATCGAACCAATTGAAGATTGTCCTGCCGGTAACATCTGTGGTCTCGTCGGTATTGACCAGTTCTTGCTCAAGAGCGGAACTCTCACCACCTCTGAGACTGCACACAACATGAGGGTCATGAAGTTCTCCGTGTCCCCTGTCGTGCGGGTCGCTGTTGAGGTCAAGAACGCTGCAGATTTGCCCAAGCTTGTCGAAGGTCTCAAGCGTCTGTCGAAGTCTGACCCCTGTGTCCAGGCTTGGATCGATGAGACCGGTGAGCACATTGTCGCTGGTGCTGGTGAGCTGCACTTGGAAATCTGCTTGAAGGTAAATGGCTATCTACTTGCTAAATTTCGTTAGTCTGACACATTGTAGGATCTCCAAGAAGACCACGCTGGCGTTCCTCTCAAGATATCTGACCCTGTCGTGGGTTACCGTGAGACTGTTAAGGCTGAGTCTTCGATTGTGGCCTTGTCCAAGTCGCAGAATAAGCACAACCGTCTCTATGCCAAGGCAATGCCTCTCGATGAGGAGCTCACCAAAGCTATTGAGGCTGGTACCGTTAACTCCCGTGACGATTACAAAGCCCGTGCTCGTATCCTCGCTGATGACTTCTCTTGGGATGTCACCGATGCAAGGAAGATCTGGTGTTTCGGTCCCGATACCACTGGCCCCAACTTGCTCGTCGATGTCACCAAGGGTGTGCAGTACCTCAACGAAATCAAGGACTCTTGCGTCGCTGCCTTCCAGTGGGCAACAAAGGAGGGTGTCTGCGCTGAGGAGAACATGCGTGGTATCCGCTTCAACATTCTTGATGTCACTGTAAGTACACTTCATACCTACTTGTATTTGCATCTTCTTATGCGATCATAACAGTTGCACGCTGATGCTATCCATCGTGGCGGTGGACAACTCATTCCTACGTGCCGTCGCGTCTGCTACGCGGCATGTTTGCTTGCTACCCCTGGTCTCCAGGAGCCAGTGTACCTCGGTACGTCCCGCTCGTATCGTATTTTTCTTGGTATTGATGTTATTCTTAGTCGAGATCCAGTGTCCTGAGAATGCCATCGGTGGTATTTACAGCGTGTTGAACAGGCGTCGTGGCCAGGTCTTCAGCGAAGAGCAGAGGCCAGGAACTCCCATGTTCACCGTCAAGGCATATCTCCCCGTCATGGAGTCCTTCGGCTTCAACAGTGATCTCCGCTCCCAAACAGCTGGGCAAGCCTTCCCCCAGAGTGTGTTCGACCACTGGGAAATCATGAACGGATGTGCGTAATTGCATGTGCGACGTGTTAAGACTGATGTTAATGAAATTTATTAGCTCCTCTCGACAAGGGTAGCAAGCTCGAAGAGCTCGTCAGGGGCATTCGTGTGCGCAAGGGTCTCAAGGTAATGGGTGACTGCACACGATTCTGAAATATGACTAACACGATATTTAGCCCGAAATTCCAGCTGTCGACCACTACTACGACAAGCTGTAAAGTTATTGTACGAACGTGCTCACGACCAAACTTCTGGATGTTGTCATTCATATTTCACTAAATTCAATTGTTGTATTCTGTATGCTTCGTGATTCGGATGCCTATACTTAATAGCCACATGGCAATTGCTGACATTGGTAAGGCGACACTGCATGACATCCCTCGGATCCGCACCTTCTATCGGTAGCGAGCGTCTTGAGTCAAACATGGGTGCTTAACGTTATGACTTGAACAGGTGCTTAAAAGGCAGGCTGCATGTAGTTATCGCAGTGACGATAACCCAGTAATACCCATCTACTCGGACATGAGAGACGTTGACCTCACCACCATCGCTGGCGTACGAAGATATTTGTCTAATACCCCTTTCGCATCACATACAATAAACGCGCTGACAGGAGGCTTCACCAACTTCACATATAGAATATACCTCAACGACTCATTCAAGGGCAGCGCAACATTGGTGTTGAAGTATGCAGCACCGTATGTCGCTGCACTCGGTACGATGGCTCTTTCTACAGAGCGCCAAGTAAGGCTTCTTTTGAAGTGGCGTTACACAGGAACTGGACTGATAACGACCTGGCAGAAATTCGACGTGGAAGCCTTACGGCTCGTCCGCAAGATGCACGCTGATGACGATGTCATTACCGTTCCTAACGTCCATCTCTTCGACGAAGAAGCCCACGTCATGATCATTGACGATTGCGGGACGGACGCTCGTACGCTGAAACAGTTGGTGATTGACGAGGCGCTACCACAGACACTCGCCGAAGCAATTGGTGCCGCGATCGGTCGTTTCCTTGGGCGTGTCCATGCCTGGAACAAAGACGCGTCTTTCGATATGGGTATTTTCGGTAACAATGAAATGGGCAAGACGATCTCGGCTTTGGTTACATATGGTCGCCTCATATCTACGCTTAGCGGTAGAGATAATATCGCGGCTTTGGCGGATCCCGGTCTAGATATCCCTGAGGAGAAACTGGCCGTTATCTCGAAGCTAGCGGAGACCCGCAGTCATGAAATTGGTAGCACAACAGAGGTGTTCACACATGGAGATTTCTGGCCTGGGAATATCATGGTAACCCTTCGGAGAGAGTCAGAGGGGGACGCGCCTGGGTTAGAGAAGCTTTATGTGCTGGACTGGGAGGTGGCGAAGGTGGGTCTTCGGGGGCTAGACATTGGTCAGTTCTGCGCAGAGATGCGGCTGCTTCAGCGGTTCTATGCAAGCCGCCAGGAGGAGACGTCCACGATTATTAGATCCTTCCTCTTGGCTTATAGAGGAGGAAGTGAGCCTGATGAAGCGCTCACGAGGGTTGCGATTGCACATGTTGGAGCACATCTGGTTGCTTGGACGCCACGGGTGCATTGGGGAGACAAGGAAGACACTAGAAAGGCGGTTGCTGAAGGAGTTGAGTTGTTAATTGGAGGTGCTGAAGGGACATCAGCCTGGCTGGAGGGTAGTCTCGTTGGAAAGCTGATGTGAAGGCAAGCTTCGTTACAATCACAAATATTGTGAAAGTCACACTGTTAGCTCATTCAATTAGTCTACTCGGCTATTAGTACTACACCGGCCGTGCTTATCGTGGCAAAGAGTCTTGCTACTAGCTCATCCTTTTAATTTTGGCGCCATCCAAACACTTTCAAGATTACGACGCCCTTGTGATCTGAGCCGTTATGTGTTAGCTGCACAGTATATAAGTAATTCTGGAACACTTCGTTCGGCAGTTACATCACTTGGCCGCATCACATTCCTATACGACATCTCGACTCATCTCTGTCATTGACTTTAACTCTAGCAGTGCAGTAATGTTCCACGAAGTCTCCGAGTCACATTCCGTGGCAGCCGTTGCTACTACTAGCGCCGCTAGCTTACCTTCTCCAACCTCTGCGGTAATGCAGCTGGATGGACTTCCTGCAGAGCTGTATAGTGCAATTATCAGTCACCTACCAGCCGACTCGTTCCAACAAGATGTCCTTGCCCTGACAAGAGCGATACCCAAATCGCCTGTGCCTATCCATCATTTATTCGAACGCATACACCTCAAGCATGCCCAGCAGATCGTACAATTGTATAGTCGCTTGCGCAATGCCAATAACGAGAGAAACTGGGTTAAGGACTTTGGTATCGTGACTTGGACTGTCGATGCTGATGTCCTCGTCAATTTACTGGGGATCCTCCCTCGAATATCTTCTCTCCTTCTCTTCGTGGGACCCAACTTTGCTCCAGAGCATCTTGAGGAGATATTTCATAAGCCGAGGGAAGACCTGCGCTTCCTCTCTTTACGTTTCCGCCCCTAGTGAGTATCAACTTGTCAATTCCTTTCGTTTATCCCTCCTGACGTGTGTGATGAAGCGTCCAGAAAGCCACATATTTTCAATTTCTCAAGGTAACATCTCGCGTTGAACGTTATACTTTTCGCTCAACGTGTACTTGTCAGGGAGCTTATTTCGATACTACCTTGACTGCACTTTCCCGTTGGCCTTCCTACAAGTTACCAGCCCTATCTATCGTCCAGGATCCTCCCGAACCATTGATATCGAATGCGAAACATTTTGCACAACCGCTCGTCTTCTTTCGACTCGAGCCAATATCTGTCCTATTGTGCTCAAAATATATCAGCTCATTGATCCACCTGCGTCTCCGTATACCATCTCGTCAAGTATCCCGATTTATCAGCAGCATCCCGTCCTCCGTCCCTGCATTACGCCTTCTTGACCTGTCCACATGTAATATTTTTGCCTCGGATATGGAGGGGATACTGATTCGATTTCATGGTCTGCGACATCTGATTCTTGATGGATGCAGCGTTGCGCGAGACCAATCGCAGGCGACGGAATGGAACAACATTGGAAAGATATGTGCGACTGCAACTGTCAGGCGAGCAAAAGCACGGGAAAAGGAGTTGAAAACTTGGTTACAGCACAATGCAGCCACTACTACTACGCTAGCAGGCATGCCACAGCCCGCAGCCAGACGTATTAGACCAGGTCGGCGTGGTCTCGCCACAGCTACTATCTCGCTCAGGGAAGAACCAGCCGCGTCAGAGCCAGATATTATCCACGTACCTGCTGGAATAGTTATTCCTAAGGTACGCATCGTTCCATCACCACCGGTGCTACTCTCCCTGTGCACGTCAGCATCCTTTATCACCGACATTCAACATCAGACTATTCGCGAGGAGTTTGAGAAGGGCTGGGATGAAGGGCTGGTACAACTTGCAGCCGTTAAGTCTAGGCTTTACGGATCTTGGAAAAATGGCATACGGATGATGCGCATTTCCGCCGATGCCAGCGGTGGCGGATATGATGGTCTGGAATCTATAGAGGGCGATAACGCATTCTACTCCGAACAGGATGGCAACGCGAGTCTGGCCCCGCCTGTATTGTGCCTTGCAGGATCAGGCACTTCAGGAAAGCACGTAGAGGGTTGCGGTCATAATATTGCTTGGAATGTCTGGAATGATACAATCTAGGCCAGGATAGACACACCTTCCTCTAGACGCTTAGATTTATCCTATGTATTTAAACCTTCCAAATTATAGCAGAATGGGCACGTAGCATTGCACTGCGTTGGCATCATGTAAAGAAACCTCTCAGCCATGTCGCCTCCTGCTCCATGTCTTCCAGCGTCCGCGGTAATCTGTCCTCATCTGCATCGACTTTGAGCTGGTGATGTTGCACGGTGGTGCTAGACACTTTGATATTCTGGAAGTCGCGGGGCAAGTCCGCTTCCGACTGCTGTAATGCAGGATATATGTCATCCATTCTCTGCGAAAAGTAGTCTCCGTGGTATTTCCGAGGCATGATATGGAAGTGGACGTGAGGTATAGACTGTCCTGCAGCCTTTCCGTCCTAGACCGTATATATAGGTGAATATCGAGTCCTATGTTCGTCAGCCAGTAATTATACCTGGCATGCCACAGTCAACGCGTCACCGCCGTACGCTCGCTCGACCACTCGACCGACATTTTGGACAGAAGCGATTAGGGACGTTAATTCTGCTGTAGTGAGATCCGTCAAGCGCGGCACAGGTCGATTGGGGATTACGAGCACGTCTAAAAGTCCGGCTTATGAGCCTGAGATTGAAATATGGTACGAAGGGCTAGGCTCACGTCCTGGCACGATTGGCTTGAGATTGACGATAGCATACGATAGCGCTGTCCTGTAAAACGCTTGTCTTGTAACTTCAATTGTGGAGAACAAGAGCGGAGGCGACATCTTTGAACCAAATGTCGTTTTAAGTTATTTAGCGGAAGGGTCAAAGTTACTCAATACGGTTGAGTAAACAAAGTCATCCAGTCTCGTGCATCATCGAGGTCATCGCTCAAGTCTACACTCGACATCAACTTCGCACTGGGCTCTCTGATAGCCAAATGTCGAGTCCGACAGATATATTTTTGCCACCGACGCTACCGTATCCTATAAAGATCACATCACTCGATGTCCAGCTAGGTGCTACTGTGCAGCGCGGGACCCGGCTATTGACGTACTCCTTCCTGTATTCATCTCCTGCAACAGTCTCGAAGCCAGAAACTCGGTTTGGCACATGGGACTGTTCAATTGAAGGAACTGTCGAATCCTGGAGGGTCAAGTCTGGCGACTGTATCTCCACCCAGAAGGCGAAACAGAGGCCTATCATATGCATCACGGAGCCATGCAAGCATGGAGTTCAGATTGGGGGACTATGCGGGTTGTGCGGGAAGGATATGACAGAGTGCGTGTATCACTAGGTCGCATGAACTCTATTGACGCATGTTCAGATTTGATTATACGGGATTCTCTGATGCGTCGCGCGCATCTATCCAAATGACGCATTCTGCCTTCGGTCCAACGGTTTCCTTGGAGGAAGCCCGGAGGTTAGAGAAGGAAACAGCAGACCACTTACTCAAGTCGAGGAAACTTTCTCTCATCGTCGATCTTGACCAAACCATAGTGCATGCGACGGTCGACCCGACTGTGGGTGAGTGGATCGCAGAAGGCGAGGCATGGGAGGCCAGACAAACCAAGAAGAGATCGACTACTCCAAACGACGAACCCTCTGATGACGACTCTGACGGGACAGCGTCCGATGCTGAAGACGAATGCAATCCAAACTGGGAAGCTTTGCAGGACGTACGAAAGTTTCGTCTGGGTCCAGAATCGTTTGGAATGGTCTCAGTTCCAAGAGGCGGGCACAAAGGAAAGGGAAAGCAGAAACTAATCGAGAATGAAGGATGCATGTATTACATCAAACCTCGGTGCGTAGGGCCTTTACTTCATCGTCAGAGTGGCTAGCTCATTTCTACAAGACCTGGAACCCAGGAATTCTTTCAGAATATATCGGCAAAGTATGAGATGCATGTATACACCATGGGTACTCGAGCCTATGCAGAAGAGGTTTGTGCTGCCATTGACCCTGATGGTAAAATATTTGGAGGAAGGATTCTCAGTAGAGATGAAAGCGGGAGTGAGTGACTTCATCTGATAGTGATCTTGCAGCTCAACATCATTCAAGGTCTCACGCAGAAAAGTCTACAACGTCTATTTCCCTGTGATACATCCATGGTAGTTATCATCGATGATCGTGCAGACGTTTGGGAGTGGAGTCCGAACCTTATCAAAGTCATTCCGTGTTCGTGCCGTTGTTGTCACATCGTGCCTTAAAACCCCCACACTGATTTTCTTTTTCAAGATGACTTTTTCGTTGGCATAGGAGACATTAATTCTGCCTTCCTGCCCAAAATCGAACCTCTCGCCCCCACAGTCCCATCTCCCTCTCTTGGCGAGTCTTTTTTTAGAAAGGGTCTTCATCAATTCGTGCTGACTGGAACAACTAGCCAAGCCGCCCTCACCTCCTGTTTCTGAATCCGAAACCCCGTCATTACCAACATCAACACCCGAAGAACATGAAAAAGCAGAGATGGAATCGAAGGCGATGCTAACGCGAAATTCCATGGCACTCGAAGCCCAAGTCGAAGAGCGTCCGTTAGCCAAGAAGCAAGAAGCTCTGCTGGAGTCTGACGATACCAGATCGACTGCACTACCTGGAGATTCATCATCCTATCATCCGAAGAGTGATACGAAGGCAGCAGCAAGCCCCAAGGCAGAGAAAGTTCCACGCAAGGCGTTATTGAAAAACGACGATACCGAGCTTCAACGGGTTGGCTATGTGTGTATCTTTCACATTGTAGAGTGTAGCATTAATTAAATTTATTACAGCTACTTGGGGAAGTCCATCGTCGCTTCTTTACCTCATATGACAACAGATCGCCAGAAGACCGAGGTAAGAAACGACGGCCCACCCTTACACGCTCTAAAGCCCATGACGTGACAGTAAGTGGTTTATATCTCTCATGTAACGTCAATCAATTGGGCCGCAGAAAATTATTCCGCAAATGCGCTTGGATACTCTGCAAGGGGTACATATATTATTTTCCAGTGTGATACCTCTTGATACAAAGCCCGAAACAACTGAGATCTGGAAAATAGCTCACATGTTTGGGGCACAATGCTACACTGAGCTATCCAGTCGAATTACCCACGTGGTTGCCGCCAAGGTCGCTCGCTCTCTATCTTTCATACGACTCTAGCTCATAGATCTTCTATCGTATAGCATGGCACAGTCAAGGTAGATGCCGCACGGAAGCGAGGGGGAATCAAGATTGTGTGGTTATCTTGGTTCACGGACTCGATAGCACTGTGGCGTCGACAAGATGAGACTCCATATTTATTGGATGACCCGTCAGCCGCAGCTCCCAATTCTAGTCCGATCCTCGACCCACACCAGATTTCTTCAGATCCGGAGCCCGATGCAGACGACTGGGACGTGGAGCCTGCCCCAGCAGGGAGCGCGTCCTTGGAGCTTCAGGACATCGATTGGAACGACATCAATGATGAAGTTGAAGCTGCTATGAACGAGAGCGACGATGAAGATGATGCCATGAGTGAAAGAAGTAGTGCGAGAAGTGTGTTATCTGATAACGATGATGCCATGCTTGATGAAACTCGAAGTCAACTAAGGTTCGAATCCCGCCCTTCAAATTGCCGGTTTAATTCCATCCTTCCTACAGTAGTCCAAATACTACTCCTCGACTGAAACGCAAAAGGCTACGAAGCGTCACACCTTCTGACAGTGGGACTAATGGGGTTGGTGACAAGCTGGGCGATGCTCTTCGTTCTCCCCTTGCCAAGCGCAAGAAACTAGCCGCAAGTCGAAGTGGAGCATCCAAACTGAAAGAGGCTGTCACTGCTGATGAATTGGTAGATACCGAGTCGCTCTCGGATCACAGCCGTAAACCATCACCGCTGCTATCTGAACCTCTCAAGAATTTTGAGGAAGGTGCTGAGGACGAAGATTATGCTGATGATGGAGACGATGAAGACGACGACTGGCTAGCTCACGAATTGGAAGTTGACTGGGGATAATTTCTATCCATTTTGTTCACTCAATTGTTTGTTTTCGCGTTTTAGTGTATTTCCCTGTAGCTTCTACGGAAGTAATATTGCATTGCATTGCATGCTACGATATCATACCAAGATCCTTGGTTCCCATCTCACCGCCGTCCCTTCGTTCCAGCGTATATCATTATGGTTCGAACCTAGATTTTAGTTATGATCACAGATTTATTAGATTTTCGGATAATCGGGCCAGCGCTTCTCGATCCAATCCCATCAGTACTAGTGTCTCCTTGGTGTCCATTGTGGCGTTGCACCTCGAAACAGCTCTCGCCCCTGTGCAGTACTGGTACGGGTCTCACAGAACCACCAGTAGACAAAACCCAAGGTGGTGATTGCGTATTCGTCGATAAGACCTGTGAACCAGCTTCTTCATGCGTTGATCTAGGCTTACGTACATGTGCCGGAAATATATGTACGCGACTCGGGTCACGTCTGGTTCTAGATGGACAGTAGTCTTCTCTGTGCTTGCATCAACTCACCTATGTATATGTTTGTCCAGAAACGCGACCTGCGAGAGTATGTCACATATGTGGTGCAAGGATCGACTACCGGGAGGGCGGCCAGGACAATTAAAATCGAAAAACGGAGACGTGGAACGGAGAATTTGGTGGGCGCAAAACGGTGACTCGAACAATGACGTATATTCCGAAATGCGGACATGCGATGGACACCCGAAAAACGACGGGTCAATATTGGGTCAAAAACACATGCTCGCGGAAACACTAGCGCGGTGTGTCGGAGTCCCGAGACCTAGTACTACTTAATACGCACGCCGCTGATCGTCTTACTCCTTACTTATCACTCCCTATTCATTCAAATCATGGTCGCAGGTGTTCAGATCCACACAAAGGTCGCACAGGACGCCCAGTCTGAAATCCTTACCGATGGTGCAGTTGCATTTCTTGCTGCACTTCATAGAACCTTCGAGTCTACAAGACAGAGCCTCCTAGCTGCGCGCGATGATGCACAGCGCAGGTTTGACTCAGGAGTACCTCTTGACTTTCCTCCTGAAACAGCACACATCCGTGCTGAACCTTCATGGCACTGCGCACCCCCTGGACCCGGTCTTGAAGACAGACGCGTTGAGATCACTGGTCCTACTGACCGGAAGATGGTCATCAATGCCCTAAACAGTGGTGCAAAGACCTTCATGGCAGACTTCGAAGGTACGCGGATCATTCACGGTGCCAATCATCGCGTTAATGTAATGTTTCCAGACTCTAGTGCTCCTACATTCGCAAACATGATTGTTGGTCAAGTCAATCTGCGGGATGCAATTAACCGACAGATCGACTTCTCATCCAGCGGCAAGCAATATAAGTTATCTGAGAATCCAGCTGTGCTTCTTGTCCGGTACGTTTGATATCTTTGATACTGGCTCATTCAGTTGTTTATATTTTGTGTAGACCTAGGGGCTGGCACTTGGACGAGACGCGTGTCACGGTCGACAACACCCCTATCTCGGGGTCTCTCTTCGACTTTGGGCTCTACTTCTACACCAATGCTCATGAGCTCATAAAACGTGGCTCGGGCCCCTTCTTCTATCTTCCAAAGATGGAGCACTATCTCGAGGCCCGTCTGTGGAATGACGTCTTCCTCTTTTCCCAGTCCTACATTGGAATACCTCACAACACAATCAGGGCAACCGTCCTCATTGAGACGCTTCCCGCAGCATTCCAGATGGAAGAAATTCTCTTTGAGCTGAGAAACCACTCTGCCGGACTCAATTGCGGAAGGTGAGGGAATATAGATGGTTTGTTGTGAATAGTCAATTTGCTCACTCACGTGGTATGGTCAGATGGGATTATATATTTAGTGCAATCAAGAAGCGCAGGGCCGATAGAAGTGCCGTATTACCAGACAGGAAGGATGTTACTATGACTGTGCCTTTCATGGATGCGTATGTGCGTCTTTTGATCCAAACTTGTCACAGGTAAGGCTATTTTCTGCGCGTTATCATAGTGCTTACACGTGTTTTTAGGAGGAAGGTTGCTGCCATGGGCGGCATGTCTGCGCAAATTCCCATCAAAGATGACCCCAAAGCCAACGAGGTGGCAATGGAGAAGGTCCGAGCAGACAAGCTTCGCGAGGTCACGGCTGGCCATGATGGAACATGGATTGCGCACCCCTTGATCAACCAGATCGCTCGCAAGGTGTTTGACGAAAATATGCTGGGTCCTAATCAGGTTCGCATCTGCGACATTTTTATTTCTGTCATAATTCATAATGCTGATCATCCATACGTTGTAGTATCACGTCCGACGTGAGGATGTGAAAGTCGCTGCAGCGGACTTGCTGAGCTCCAATGTTGCCGGAAAAATTACCGAGGACGGCATTCGCTCCAATGTCTCTGTGGCTCTCGCCTACTGCGGAGCTTGGATCGGTGGCAATGGCTGCATCCCTGTCAGCTACTTGATGGAGGATGCCGCTACTGCTGAGATCGCACGGGTGCAACTCTGGCAGTGGGTGAAGTACAGCTCACGTATTGACACTGGCGAGCAGATTACCGCACCGTATGTCGACCGCATCATCGCAGAGCAAGCACCCGGCGTCCAGAAGATCGCCCCAAGTGTCAAGGATGATCACTTGAAAATTGCTACGAAGTATCTCATGGATCAAGTCAGGCAACAATGGCCAAGCGAGTTTTTGACGAGTGACTTGATGCCATACTTGACGATGGCTGATGGTGTCGAGGACAAGTGGCATAGGAGTGTTTTGTAAGAGTTCTCAATACGTGACTGTTTGTTCTATTGGTTTTGTCAATGCCTTTGTAGGTCTATGCGCTCAGAAGCCTGAAATATCTTTCCCGGTGTATTTGTAGTATCATACGGACTTGTTAATGGGCTAACAAATGTTGTATGTTAAACCCAATATTTGCGTACGAGAAATACGACACATGCAATTTTTGAGACAGCCCTTGGAGCTTGAGATGTACTGTTGCTACTGTGCGAACGCCGTGATGGAGTAAACCTGGTTGAGAGGAGCACCGCCGCCGACAGATTACAAAAATACGGAGCCACATGTGAGTAGGACGCAGTGCCCTCGTGACCGGCCTTGAGCCTAATAAATTCTTCATCCTGTATCCTCGCCCTCAACCTTTGCGGATCCAGGAACCGAACCTATTTGGTTCCTCCGGCTCTCCGAGATGCACGCTTGTGTAGACAGCGGCGTCCCTCACGGCGTCCTTCTTTCTACTCTTGGCTGCCCTATATATGGAGGCTCACACTTAGTAGATGCACGATGCATACATTCCGAGTCAGCGTTGAAGATTACGCGATACCGCATGATACGTACCCGCCTAAATACACAGCCCGGCATGGCGAATAGTTGTTGAGAGTTCTGTCCGTGATGTCGCCCTTCAATATTCAACCGCTGGGGCCAAACAATATTAGTCGGTCAGACAATATCCCGAAGAAAATGTTGTCCCGCTTCAGAAAATTGACGCACCACTTGTAGACACTAGCTGGCATCAAGGCGGATCTTGGCACACACGCGCTTTGACGCCGCTGGTATTGTACTCTGAAACCACGGGCTTTTGTAAGACAAGTTTGTGTTTGATTTATGTCGACCTGCAGGTGGGAAGCGGACAACACAGTAGCCAGACAGAATATCGCAATTCAATATGCGGTCCCTAAATAAAAAAGAAACTGTGTGTATTTATGTGGCAGTACGTCGAAAGGCATGATAAGAATTATGGAAAGGTACAATACAATTCACGTCGAGAAATTCGACCAATATACAATATAAACAGCTGCAGCCTCGAGCAAAAAAATGGGAATTTGTGGACATGCTTCCGCCAGGGTTCTGTAACCCTGAACTGGCAGTGAATAAGGGGAATGCATTTTCTATATTCTAGAAGACTGATGAGCTCCGGGCGCATAAAGACCGAACTACTCACTACGGTTTCGGAAAGTTGTCTTAATAAAGTGCATACCCGTTACTACGGAGACGGGTAGACAATGCCTGCGGCTGCTTCAAGACGAAGTACTTCATCCATCAAAGCATCCCTCCCTTCCTCGAGCCACCGGCAATACTCAACTGTTCGAAAGAGGACCCCGCTCTTGCCTTTGCTGTGGCCCTTCCCCCTGCTACCGCTGCCCTTTGGTCTACCCCTAGTAGGCATATCAATAGCCTGTGCACCAGCTGGGGCGAGAAGGGATATCAACTGGGCGTATCCCTCACGAATGGCGTTACGACGCTTTTGCTCTGACATGATATGATTGAGTCTTTTCTGAGGGGTTGATAGAAGGACTTTGGCTCTCCCCGTCTGACACGGGGCTGCAGAAGCTCTCTTGCGCTTCGTGCCTGTGGAATCTTGTTTCGAGGGAGAAGACGAAGTTGCGGATGATGAAGATGAAGGTCTGGCGTTCGAAGTATCTGATGGCATCTCAGATCGCTCTGGGAGTATCGGCGACATAATTTCTCCCGAATTATCTAGATCACGCGCGCTTTGCTGCACAGGATAGGGCGCAGTGAGAGCGGGATCTGATTCGAAATCCCAATTAAAGTTGTCCAGGAATCCTAGCAGATCAGTTGTTTCGGACGGAGAGAAGAGGTCTGCGGATGATGGGATGGGAAGTAGAGGAGGGGATAGACTTGCGAGAGCAGGATCAAATACATACTCGAAATCGGAGAAGGGAGGTGGCTGAGACGGAGATTGGGATGACATGGTGGTGCAGGCAAGAACTGTTACCGACCCGGAATGAATCGATTACCGGTACGGTAATTACGGCACAGAACCATGCCTTGGCCGGTGTGGCGGAAGCTACCGGATGTACAAATACGCATAAATGGAGATAAATATCAATTAAATAGGTATATCCGCTCCGATGAATTACTTATATTCCCGCTTTACCGAACAGCGTCGGAACCTCACCGCTCCGCAACACCCATGTCGGCTCTTAGTGAGGCATCTACACCGGCGCATGACGCGGCGTCGGCCATGGACGCACAACAACTACATCAACTTCATCAACATGCTGCCGACGCTCAACAGCAGCAACAGCAACATACCTCCAATGGCCCATCGCCAGTCAACGATTCAACAGCAACTCGTAAAGGTGAGCTTTTGCACCATAATCGTCAACGATGACACATATGTATATATAATGTCTAGCAAAAGCCCCTTCAGTAAGGCGAGCATGTACTGCATGTCATACCGGTAAAACTCGTTGTAGCGAGGTATTACCGTGCCAGGTTGGTACAGATCTCGAACAAACATATTCGTTCTCCAATAAATTGACCGCGTACCTCCCATTAGAGCTGCTTAAAACGAGGTATCGGTGCAACATGCGCATATCCAGATCCTGAAAGCGACCAAAATCAGTCGCATCAAAGTAATTATTTGACTTCGCTGAAACGTAGTCTACTTATTCACGATCTTGTAATCTCTCAGCTCCTGGTGTGTCTACATTTGCTCAGGCACCCCTGGGATTTGTCCATGGAGCACCTACTCTCAGCCAGCATCAATATTATGATTACAACGGTGCATTTACTGGCGCATCTTCATCTACCTTTCGGCCCAACAAACGGCCCCGTAATCTCACAGAGGAAGAGGCAGCCGCCATCACTAGGAATTTTAGTCGTGGAGACTTTTTTGTTGGCTCAAGCGCTCCTGTGCGTATTGATCCCCGTCTACCAGTCAGGCTTACCCTAGGCGAGGGGGACCATGTGCATTTCAGTATCACAGAAACTTTGACGTGATTGAGCTATCTATTACTGGAAAATTAATCGGCTACTTCTTGCGTTCGTTTCCGAATCGCACTGTGTATCATTACGATCGTCACCACCACCTTCTGAGGATTACTTTCGCGGTACCTCTCGCAAATCTCATGTACATAATATAATAAATATTGTCGAAGAGGGCAGCGGGTATTATATTTATCGCACTTAAAAAAATTCATGGCGAAGCGCAGCAAAAGTATTGATGAGAGTGGGATTCGAACCCACGCCCCGGAGGACCAGATAACTTGCTCATCTAATGAGCTGATCCTTAGTCTGGCGCCTTAGACCGCTCGGCCATCTCACCATGTGTCATTATCCAATCTTACTTTGTTTTACTTCACACGGCGGCGCCGCAGTGGCGTGGTTTCTATAGGCTATGCAACCTGAAACTAGTCCCCTTCTGTAATTTTTGTTGTCTCACTCACTTGCTTCGAACGTATTGATCATGCCATCGTTTTCTTTCACCAGGGCGCAGGTCGCTCTGTCCACTTTTGCAATGATATCACTCGTTTCTAACTTGGTTTATGCTTCGCCCACCGAATCGCCGCCGCTTCGCCGTGCCACGATTTGCAATGGAAGTCCTGATCTGTGTAGCCGTGGTTTCGGAAACGTCACCTTTGTCGGTGCCCATGATTCTTATGCTGTTGGTACCAACAATAGTGAGTTTCAATGTCCTTGTACACGCAGATACTTACTCGATTATTCTCCTGAAGTTTTCGCAACCCAGGACTACAACAGTGAGCACAAACTTCTTTCAAAATTTATTTATATAAAATAACTCCTGTCAGTCACACAACAGCTGAATGACGGGATTCGAATGCTGCAAATGCAGGCTCATAACTCGAGTGGAGTCATTCATCTTTGCCACACGAGCTGTGTATGTAACGTACTTGTTGTGCCAATTGACATGCCGTACTCATTGTATTGTAGTCGCTCTTGGATGGCGGAACCCTTCAGGCTTACCTCACAACTGGTGAGAATCCAAATTTACCTTCAGGTTGCTTTCCTCATATCTTGGCATATAGTCAAAGCCTGGCTAGACGCCAATCCAAATGAAGGTCAGTACTCTTCATGATAGAAGGCAGAACTCCGGAATTTCTCAAGTTATCTTTTCCAGTACTTTCATTGCTCATTGTCAACTCTGATACTCTTCCACCGAGTAGTTACGACACTGTCTTCAAAGCGGTCGGGCTTGACACAATGTCTTACTCGCCGCCCTCCTCTTCGCTACTTGAAAGTAATTGGCCGACCCTTGGCAGCCTCATCGATTCGGGAACGCGATTGATAACTTTCATGGACTCCAACGCCAACTTCAACTCCGTTCCTTACATCATTGACGGTGTGTTACACAGTTGAGCCCGCGGAGACCGCTTAATACTCTTACCCCCAGAATTTACCAACATCTGGGAAACTGCGTATGACGTCACCACGTCATTTGATTGCAATGTGAACCGGTCAAACGCCAATACCCCCACTGCTACATCTATGTACCTTATTAATCACTTCTTGGACACATTGGTCCTTGGCCAACCTGCTCCGGACCCAAGTCAAGCTAATCAAACCAATGCTGTCACCGGTTCAAATTCCTTGGGTGAGCAGTTCAGTCTCTGCACTGGCCAACAGGGCAGAAACCCAAACTTCATGCTTGTTGACGTACGTACATTCAACTATTTCATGGATTTCTTTCTGATGGTTCCAAGTTCTATGAGTACGGTGGTGGATCTGTGTTCGAAGTCGCTGCCACCGCTAACGGCGTTACTTATTCACCTGCCACGCCCATTGCGACTCCGGGAGGAACAGGTTCAACCTCACCGAGTGCGACATCATCCTCGTTGAACTTAAGCTTCAGTCGGTGGAGCTCAGTTTGGGTGGTTATAGGCAGCATAGCGTTCGGCGCCTTCTACATTTAGCAATCTATCATTTGATCCGGATCTGGGACTGAACTCGTATAATATACACTCGCACTATTCTCGTCGAACTACACAATGGATTGTCATGGACTTCGATAATACTATCGCTTTCTTTCTATACGCCACTTGTATACACGAGGTTTGTAATTCTTCTCATCCACTTTGCTTGCCTTAGAAGCTGCCGCGTCGTCCATTTCGTCCTCATCTTGATCGTTCTCAGCCCCTACTTCTTCGACGCCACGCAACTTTCGCCGACTTCCCTTACCCGCCAAAAGTCTTTGCATCTCTAGTTCACGTTGTGTATACCGCAATTGAGTATCACGTTTTAGTCGCGCAGCGAGTTCTTTTAGGAGTCGCTTCCGGTTTTGCTGAGTGAAAATTCTCAGGAAGCGGATGACAACAAGAAAATATGGGCATACCACATTAAGTTGCCGTGTTTCTTCAGCATCCTCGACAATCTCCGTTGATACACCGGCTGAGCATTTGTTTTTCCGTCTCCGTCGAGACGATGCACTTTCCACGGTCTTCCAGCCGAGATCGACTTCAGTCCGTTCGACATCCGCTTCAATCGTAGTTTTGGCCTTGTTTGAAGATTGCCGCTGAGATAATTGTTTTGCTGCAGTGTATACGTTATTATGTCATAAACGATACGGCGTCACAAGATACACTCGCCTTCCACCTCATTCTCAGCAAAGATAATGTGACGTGGGGGTGGACGCCGTTTTGTTCCTGGGGGTATGATACCTGCTTCTCGAAGTGTTTCCAGGTCAGTTTCGTCCAACGCATCCTCGCCATCATCCTCTATGTTATCATCCTGCGGGGCAATGAGGTTAGCCAAGGCAGTAAGTTGGCTCTTGATCCTCTCGATTTTCTGTCAAGGAATAAGTCGAATAATCGATACAAGCACGCATAAAATGTATGCCTTGATTCCGTTGGCTCTCATTGTCCGAACATAACCCTCATCTTGTGTCTTGAGGAGCTTAACCATATCCATAGGCATAGAAACATTTCCTCTATCCTTGACATGCACCCCCTGCACCGTCCTCTCCTTATTCATCCCAAAGTAGAACTCATCCTTATTCCTATCCGCTGCCTTCTGCCTAAGGCGCGTTATACGATCCTGCTTGGAGTGATAATCCCGTGCACGTTGGACATAATCCTTGTGCTTTTCTAAAATTCCAAATTTTGCGCGATGAGAGAGCTGCGAGCGCTCTTTATGATTTCGCCTATGCAACGAATTTCTGAGGGAGGAGGTCATAATGTTGAAAAAAGGAAAGCGTGTGACAAAAATGTTACGTGACATTGTATAAAGTTGTCACACGCGGGACCAGTTTTCCACCTTTTTGCTTTCATCCCAACCATTTTTTGTTCGGAATCCTTGTCAAAAATGAGTTTCCAGCATTTCAGGCTCGGGCAACTGGCTCTGTCCCAGCCTTTGCCTCCACATTTGCAACAGAATCAGCAGCAAACTTATTCACAAAATCCCCCATCATCCACATCGACGCCCGCAGCGCCTTCTAGCCTTGCTATACCTGCGCCCCCAAAGTCGACAACTGCAAGGTCACCTTACGGTTGTGGCGATAGTGACGATGGATACACTCTTATATTCCCAAATCTCGCTGCATTTCAGGAATGGAGGGCTCATGAGGAAGAAACACAGATGGTTGAATTCGTGAAGGGCGACACTCATGGCAGCAAGGCAGTTCCTCCCCGTTTCAAGGACCATACTAAACTAGTTTGTGCCCGGCATTCAAGGAGTGGTCGTAAGAAGTATGTAAAGAAACATCCAGAGCGCGTTCGCAAGGTACCCAGTAGGAAGGTTCGTATCAGTAGTACGATCTACAGTACGGCCTGTTCACGCATTCCCTCAGCTTGATGGGCAGGGGTGTCTGGCGTCCATCAGCTACAAGACTTATTATGACACTGATGAAGTTCGAGTTTGTTGTGAGTTTTCATGCAAGTGTCGGGGGTATCGCCTTGTCTGAACGATCTCATAGACATTGCTGAGCATTCACATCCAATCGGGCTGGCAAACCTGCCATTTACCCGTCGCGGCAGGCGGCAAACAGTTCTAGCCGAGAAGGAAGAGTCGAAGCGCGCCCTACAAGCAGCTTCTACGGCCCCCGCTGCCACGCAGCAGGAGAGCTCATCTACTTCATCTCAAACACAGGTCCAAAACTATCCTTCAAACCCTCCACTCGCCCATCTGCCCCATCCGTTCTCTGCTTTCCCTGGACCTCCGGCAATCGGCTATCCTCACATCGGTCCTCCTCAGGGTTCACCATCTCAGCAAGAATTGTGGGACCGCATGAGCATTCTATTTAACTCCATTCGTGAACATGCTCGAGCATTTGATTACCCCGGGCCTACTGTTGTCGCTCTTGAAAGCGTTCTCATCCGATTATATTTGGAAAGCCCGATGGGCGTTGTAGGGGGCCCAGGCTTTGGAGTCCTTGGCCCGAGTATGCACGGAGGCGCGATGGCCCCTCATCAGCATCAGCAGCCCCAGCAGTCCCATCAAGATGTTCGTCAACACCAACAACAAATGAACGGCGCATCTCCTCAAAACGGTGAACAAGTAGTGAACAATGAAATGGATAGCGGTATAGAAAGTGGTTGACAACCCAGATTTTGGTTTATTCGTCGCCATCATTTTGGAGAAGCTTCATCCTTGCAAGCTGTACTGTAAGATAGGTTGATGTCTAGTGGATTTTGCATGCGTTTGTTCCTCGGGACTTCAGCAGGAGTACCGCACAATGTACCAAACACTTCTTCTAATGCAGTATAATTCATCCTAGTATCATCATATAATTCCAGCAAGAACCTGTTATTACAAGAGATGACGAAAGATTGACTACATGTGCATAAAATATATTGCCGATCCCACGGCATCCCTCCGGGTATACTTCGATATCAATCCGCAAACGGATCGGCGAATGGATCCTCGTCATCCACAATTCTTTCTGAGGGTCGCAAGCTTGAAGACGCTGCAGGTTGGTGTGCGACGTTTCTAGGTTGCTCCTCTCCCTCGCTCTCGTAGTCACTGAAATCAGAGAGACTTCCCCTACCCTGATCCCACTCCGAATCCGGTGAAATGTTACGATGTGCGGTTGGTCTCATGGGTGGGGGCAATTTCCCCTCTTCATTACCCAGAGAACCAAACGATAGATCTCGAAGATCTTCGTGGATATGATTCCTGCTTCTTTCTTGCTCCTCATAATCGTGTAGTTGCTGTTTGTATTGTTCTACAGCTGCTCGTTGCTGAACCGACAGCTCGCCTGTACTATTTGGGCTGAGGTGTGTCGTCGCCATTGCGGCTTGTATATTCGCTGTAGGATCTGACGCCGTCGTCTGATCAGTAGCTGAAAGCTGAACGCAGATCACTGAACAGCAAATTTATGCTAGAAAGCGGCCACCTACGTTGACATACATTTGCAGGGCGGTGATAATGTGCTCGTTCGTCTCGATTAACGCTCCGATTATTTCCTCGTTCTCCACGAGCTGGTTTAAGTCATGAGCAACTAAATCAACACCAAAAGAAAGAAATGCAGACTTGGATATAGCGCACTATTGGCTTACGGATAGCACGTGCCTTTCCGAGACACTCCTGCACACGTTCATTCGAGACCACGCTTTCTTTCTCGCTATTCACCAGCTTTATGGCATTCACCAGATTACTGGACGCTTGACTTGCGTTAGCGATGGTTGTCAGTATTTGCGGCTTCTCCTGTTATCATGTTAGTTTGGTGGCAGATCACGAGCCTGACAATGGGGGTCACGCACAGCTTCAAAGTCGAAGGGGGGTCGACGGGATCGGACCTTCTTCTTCCTTGCGTCTTCCTCAGCTTTACGTGCCCGTTTCTTCGCTTCTTGCTTCTCCAGCTTGGCTTGTTGCTTCGCCAGCTCCTTTTCGTCCCTCTCTTTCATTTTCCTTTCGTAGTCAGATGATGGCCCGTGACTAAGTGGATCTGCATTATTTGAGTATCCTTGGCTGCGACGATCTGCAGGACGACATTGTCTGAAGAGACCTGCAACAACGGACATCGATGGATCATCCTTGAACTGGGAGTGCCATGATGCAAGAACGACCATGAGCTTCTTCTTAACTTTCTGATCCGTCGTTGGATCAGTTGAGAGTTGCTTTATGGCATCGACCAGCTGGCCGTCGGCAAACGTGGCTGTTGCCATAAGCCAAAGTCAGTCGTATATTTGCATGTAAACTCACTTTGAAATTTCTGGGGACCATTGTCGACAAGTGCGTTCAGTATCTAGTCCTATCAGTCAATCTGCTTCCACCGATAAGAGATTTAAACATACGACAAGTGCACGGTACTGATGGTGTGCGTCTCCATGTTTGAGCTTCTTTCGTATTGCTCTGGATGCTTCGGGAGTTCTAGTGTAAGGGGTGGACGCCCAACGCATCAATGGTTACCATTAAACAATGTTAGGTCCGGATTTCAAGCGCACCCTGTTGGTTGTAGCGCAATTGATTCTACTAGTTCCGGGATTCTTAAAAACGTTGAATGAGCTTCGCATCCATTTCAAGATACTATTGTCCCTACCCATCATACGCCTCATCATTATATGAAGGTGAGGTGAGAATGTCTACCCAATCGGTAATAGATGACTGCAGCGGATCGTAATTGTCTGAGCAAGTAAGAGCGATATCCTGAAACTTACATGAGGTTTCTCGCGGTTGAGTGCAGAAACTGCAAACTTGAGAGCAGACATGAAGAGCTGCTTAAGCTTGTAACTTGCAGCCGCCAAGTTAAGGAAAAGCGCCTAAATAGCCGGTCTTACCCAGGGGTGCGTGACTCATCACGACCTTGTCACAGATATACATATTATTTCTCGGTGCGCAGTGCCAGTGCGCTGTCGCGGAATAGGATGAAACAGGAGTCGATAGGCTTTATAGCGGACCGTCTCCGAGCAGTACTTGCCATCAATGGGGATAAGATCAACAAAGCACGGTCAGGGCGACCCCATACAGCGACTATGACGTCAACGGGGCTGTCCCAATGTAATCCTCATCGTTTCGTTCACACCATCATAACATGACTTGAAGCAGTGCTACACAGGCCCCTAGTATGAGCTCCAGTGGAAGTCCTTCTCGTCCCCGAAGACAAAGGCGAATAATGAAAACCGAAAATGAGGACAACTCTGCACACGTGAAGATCGAACAGGAGGTCGGTGAGAAGCGCGAAGCTCTTAAGGCTGAAACAGGAGAAGAGACGGAGGCGAAGAGGCCGAAGACAGAAGAAGCTGATACGAATGAATACCCATTCACTCCAGGTTAGTGTATTCTTCCGAGTGCTTCATCATCGTCGAACCTATTTTTTTTCAGGGGTAATCGAGCGTGGTCATATATACTTCTTCTACCGCCCAAAAGTCCAATGTGAAGAAGTTCATTCTATGGACGATGTCGGCAAGTTCCATGTGCTCCTTGTCCCTAGTTCATCCGAGTCCTTAAGCGTGCAAGGCGAAATTGAGCAGAGTAAAGATGTCTCCGGTGCAGATGCGGAGCAGATGAACCTTGTGGCGCAAGGCGCAGACGCTGCACCTCCACCTGAATCAACGTCAAAGGATAAAAAACATTTCCGCTTGATCATCATCGGGAAAAAAAAACTCCCTGATCCTGAACGCGAAAGGCACGTGCCAATTTGGGCGACAGTAATATTTCTCGGCGACAATTTACATGACCTGGAGAAGAAGTTGGGGGAAAAGACTTATGAGACAAAAACCCGGGGTATGATTTTACCCCTAGTGACAATTCCATTTTGAAACCGTCGTTAGGTACACGTCACACACCACCCGTTCGCCTCGCAGGCCGTGGTGTGTATGCAATTGTCAACTCTCAAGGGAATGTCCTATCAAGAAATGCCACTCATCTCGGATACCACCTTTCACACCCGACCGAGTTGGGAGATGTCCAGAAAGCACTTAGGATTCATATCGCATCCTCTTTCGTAATCCAAATCAAAAATCCCAATGCAGAACCTCAGGCTGGTCAACCTGTAGGATTGCCCAAGAATCGACGTGCAATTTATTCAGAAGGCATCATGAAGCACGTATTTGGAAGAGGTGAAAAAGGACGTTCGTCGATTGGACTCCGATTCACCAATTGTAACTGTATTGAACTTCTGGAGCACGAAGGTGCCGAATTACTTCTCATTCCCGCCCGTACGGGAACGGAAGGAAATGATCAGAGCCTCGGAAATGGGCGGGGAGAAGGTGACGTCTGGTCCTATCATCCCGAAGCTAAATATTTACTGGAGTTTAGCTTTGGAAGAAGTCAGCCGCTACGAATCGGAGGAACGAGTCGAACAAATTTTTAAGGAACTGGCCTTTAATAAGGACCGCTTCCCAGCAGAGCCTCTCAAAGGGGAGTGGGCATAACACGGTTAATACGAAAGGCTACGTGGCCTTCAACTTCATATCACGAGTTGTCTTGCGGACCTGTGAGGAATGCAATTGCGGTAATGATACTATGCTAGTCAATGGGTAAAGTACAAATGTTCGCACAAGTTTTCTCGTGTCATGTCATGTCATGTCAGGTCCTGCTTCATCACCATCATCATTCACTCGTATCACTTTAATCCATTCGCGGTAATTGAAATTTCCTTGACGATCAGTGAATGAACTCTTAAGGAACTTGTCAATCTGTGCACAAAATCAGCCACTCGGACGGTGAGAACAGGTGCAAAGTTCAAACGAACTTCCTGCTGATCCATTCTTTCTCCTACTTCTCCCATCCATTTCTGCATCTCATCAGATTTAACCGTACCCGTGTCGCCCTCGTCGAAACATTCAAAAGCCTCCCTCAACTCAGCTTCTGGATCGAACTCGAAAAGTCGTTCGCTCATCATGGTGAGGAACATGGTGAAATTGATACCTCTGTCTGATGAAACTGACGAGTCGCGCGAAGGAGTCGCAGGAGGCGACTTGCTGTGCCCAGGGCCACCGGGGCGCGCGCTGAGCAGGCCATCTAGCGTACTCTTCGATGGTGAAATACCTGAAACCTGAATGAGCGCTCGACTCATCAATCAACGAGTGCAACCTCACCAAGGCTTGAGAATATCTCTCGCAGATCAGATTCCGTTACCCAGCCATCCTTGTCGTGGTCGATAAGTTGAAATGCCTCCTTGAACAGCTGAATCTGTGGTGCCTGAAACAAGGAGAAAACACCGGATGGCTCGCGTCTTGCTCTTGACTTCTGCGAGTTGGATGGTTTAGAAGGGGTTGCGTTCGGTGAAAGATAGTCTGGGTATCGTGACATGGTGTTTGAGTAAACTATATTCAAAAGCAACTTAATGGACCAGTTTGCACGTGACAACGCGTTATGTCGTTACCGTTTTTGCATCACACATAATGAACTGAATCCAGCCGCATACGCTGGACTTTGAGTCCAACGTAAAACGGTGATATCCATCCAACTTGTGATTCGCTTGCGGCCCAGTGAGGGAGAGATTGAAACGAGACATATGATCATATCCCCATGTCCACATTGTGTGCTCCCTCATATTTGCCGAATATCTAACCCACCGCCATTTCTGTGATGATCAAACCTTCCGTCCAACTTGACTTGAACAATCTCTTGGTGCTCACCAATTTAGCACCTCGCATGACTGTACGAACGACACCAACACACCACCCCTAGAGACCCGATCAGTGAGCTGTCTTGCGTGGGTTAAGACCTCTTTATTGTTAGCCCGTGATCATAGCGGCGCAGTGATGGTGTGAACAGTCTACTATTAGGTATGTTGCTTCAAATGACTTTTGACAAGTGCTGACTCGGATTTCCTCTCGGCGGGCTTTCGCTTACAGTGACAGTATCCGACTCGGGGGTTCTCGGGTACGGACCCGTCGTCGTGAGCAGCCGCTTGGTATGCATATAGCCATCTGTCTTCGTTCCGTCAACTTTAACGTGCAGCATCATACCCACAGAGCTCATACAAGCGGGCGGTAACCAACAGGATGTGAAACTGATTGGTTTCAGGTGTCGCATTTCCACCGAGTTACATAAATTATTTGTATCTCTTTTAGATGCACCTCGGTAAGTACATTCAATATACTCTCCAGTAGCCGGCGTAATACCTCCTAATACACTCACATGATAGTCGATAAATTGGCATGTCCAAATACACGATAAGTGATAGTAGCTGATTCGCGCTAGTCTGCCATGCCGTGAATGGAGTTTGTTCCCACCTCGTGCCAAACGTGATATCACGGGTTGTGTTCTGCTGTAGGTCTTCTTCGAGATAGGTTAACCTCTTAGAGCTATATCCACTGAAACAGTTGCTTCTCATTAGGTACAGGCGCACTCGGCACTATCCTTGGACAATGATACCCTGAGATATTTGTGCGTGCGTATCTTTTTAATAAATACTCCCTGATAGCCGTTGGGTGGTCGTGCAATATATCGTTTGTTGGCAGCGTGGATGGTAATGAAAATCATTGCTGACATGTGTACCTAGATGGGACGCTCGCTCACGGATCGCCTCTTATGTGTCCATTTGTAGGGGTTTTTTTTTTCACCTCCTTGGCATATATCTCTCGCCAAGTCTTGGCCGGAAGGATCGCACTGGTGTCATTTATGCAAGCGGGGTGTCCACTCCATTTTTGCAAAGAGCAATCTCGATACAAGAGCGGCTTCAATAATATTTAAATAAGCAAGAATTCGAGGTTCAGTATTCAGTAAGGGCAATTTATCGCTGGTACGCCTTCCGAGGAGATTATCCATGACTCATTGCCCTGATTCAGACTATGGTGTAACGTCGTGCAATCTCACGAAGCCCCGGTTGCCTATAGCCGCACAGCGATACGGTCGCCCGGGTCAACGTCATTCTTCAAAAGGATTTACTTGTATCTTAGGGTTTGGAGCATGAGGTACCAAACTTTGTATGCGCTCATTCGAGTTCTTGATTAGAGTCCACCTTACAGCCCGCCTTGATGAATGCGATTTGCTCCCCATGTCGTTAGTTGAAGATGCGTGGTAATGCTGGAAGTTGCATATCAGGTGCTCGTTACGCACGAGGGGTCATGAAATGCGTGACCTTTATCAGTATGGTGACCTTCTTCTTCCTTTCCAGTTGACTACCGCTGGGGGCAAGGCTGCTCTAGGCCATTGGATCTGCGGTCATACTGCGAAGGGACCGGTTATTATGGAAAGGCCGTCCACAAGTTAAATTTGCTGAAGTATATGGATTGAGTTCATTCTCACTAGTGCCACTCATCTTTCGGGCCCGTCAGTCGGCTTGATAAACACCCGGAAGACGCCGCTTAGAAATACAAAGTGATGCGCAGTAGAAAGTTTGGAGCACCTGGTTCAGATTTAAAAGGCGGTCCAAGGATCCCAAAGGGACAGCCTTGAGTTGTCAGGAGTACAACAAAGCTTGGCACTAAATGTTCTTGGCGGTGGACTGGCTTGGCAAATGAAGTCAGAGTCTGTCAAACTGAAATGAAATTGATTCCCAATTAGTAATCTTGTGCTTGGCATGTTGTATTGCCTAAAGAGTGCGCTTGTGGTGTTTCACGGGTGAATGATTTCTCAGGTCGAGGAATTGCTGTAGCAGTCATTTTAAATCTATTACCGAAGAACGGAAGAGCCAGCGCATAATAGTCACGATGATGAGCATCATTGGTTGTGGCGTGCCCAATAACATTAGCAGTTTGAGTTTTATCAGTTCCAGGAAACAGTTTGTTCACATGTCGGCTTTGCGTTGTACCTGGTATCCCGTTAGTTTCCTAGGTGGCAGGTAGGATGGTAGTATGTCTCCGCCATGAGAATTTGGATTTACCGTTGTTCTCGGTAGCATCCGGAGTCATCCCGGTACAGTCGGCACCACCCGCAGTCCGTCGACTCCGTATATACGTACGAATCCGGTAGTGCTAGAGTAAAGTAGAGCCTTGCGTTCCGTTCCGTGTGTGAGAAGGTGTCTGTAGTAGTTGTAAAAGAACGCATAAAAAAGTAGTCTAGAACACAGGGTCTGAGTTCTGTCAAGAGGGGACTTCTAGGGGGAAGCTAGATGGAGATTGACGGAGGCGAGAACTGAGAACTCTTGGTGTTGTTGTGCTCAAAAACTTGCTTTAACGTTGTATTCCGAATTCAACCGGAAGGTAACCCAATTGGGGTTAAAATCGAACACGGTGATCTCCGACACTAGTGATCGGTCTTGGTGCCAAGGATGCAATTTCTTGGCGCGCTGGCATTCTTATACGCCAAGACTCACTCTTCTCTTGGCATACAAAGGAGACCCAGCCTTCTTATAAAATCAAAATGACTTCCTTACACTCCGCGACCGTTCTTGTCCCAGACTTCATCCCACTTGGCTACCTCATGCAACCTCCATCAGATTCTCCTCCTCCTCACTCTACTGCTTCATCCTTGAAAGCTCCTTCACAATCACCACCACCAGACACCTCAGTATCAATCCCATCACACTCAGAATCTTACAATTGTCAATGGGTCGATTGCTCGGCAACTTTCACAGATCCTGAGGTTCTCTACAATCACCTCTGCAACGACCATATCGGTCGAAAGAGTACAAATAATTTATGTCTCACTTGCAAATGGAAGGATTGTGGGACCTCCTGTGCCAAACGCGATCATATCACAAGTCACCTCCGAGGTATACCATCCCTATTACTTATTATAATTCATTATTAATATAAACTACCTCCTAGTCCACACTCCGTTGAAGCCGCATGTCTGTGAGGTTCGTTATATTTTTTGGTTTTTTCCTCACCGTTCAGCTTGGCTCACTCCTCCCCAGATATGCAAAAAGTCTTTCAAGCGCCCGCAAGATCTCAAAAAACACGAGAAAATCCATACAGAGGAGCACCATGCGCAGCACAAGCACTCCAAAGCAATTACCGTAAATGATCCTGCTTACGCCTCCCGTGTTCGCGGAGATGCTGTCCCATCAAAAGGCGCTCTCAATAGGTCGCTTTCTGGTAAACTCCAAGGCCCAGCGCCGGGCGCGTTGCCTTCCAAAGTCCCTTTCGCTCGTGCACGCCCACGTTCCGCTATAGGAGCAGACGGTTAGTCGCACGATCTCCACCATGACATCCGCTAACGTCGGACCTTAGGTGGCCACTACAGTGCCTTGCCCACTCCTTCTCCGGAACTTGATAATCATCCTCGTCATCTGCCTCATCCGTCATACGACCCCTTTCTCCACAATCAGGTACCCTCATGGGACAATACTAAATCCGACGCACGCGCCTCAAATCGCAACAAGAGGTCGCTCGACTATACTGTCGACGATTTCTTCACTGAAATGAAGAAGAGGAAAGTCAATCCTGCTTACGACAACCGTATGTATACACTCTCATTTGATCCGCAAACAGTATCTGATGGAACGAATTCATAGACATGGTGGAGCGTCTCAATAATCTAACATATGCACAAGACGGTGCACATTATGACGAGTTTAATCCTCGCTCAGTGTCTTTTGACGTCCGCACACCAGAGGAACTTGCTGCGGTTAACGAATTTCTTGTGACCCTTGGCCGGGACGTGACTGGAAACAATCGCGCACCCCAGGACCTATCCGGACGGTTCTCACCAACGTCATATTTTGATGCTGACAGCCTCAGTCAACTTGGGCTCACCGGAATGCCTGGACTGCTGGGTCCAGGGACAGCGTACGCTCACGATGCCGCATATGCACAGACTGCGCACCAATATGCCACCGCCGCCTACCCTTCACCATCACTTGGGAGATCTTCTCACCCATCCGTGCAGCAGACTCAATATAGTCCTGTTTATCCGCCTATGCATGTTTCCAGCCCTGGTGGCTACTCAGATCAGTACACGTCTTCCCATCAGAGTCGCGCTTCAGCGTCCGCCTCCCATGATTATGGTCTCAATACGCCATCCTCGACATATGCCTATCACTCAGCATCCACTCCCCAAGGGCACTTCCACCCTACACCCCCGCTCGACCCGACATCACCACATTCTTCTAGTTCCACCCCTTCCAATGCTACGCCACCACATCACTCGTCGATACAAGAGTCTTTTGCTGAATTCAGCTCGCTTCGTAGGCCTCGTGGCGCTCCTCCACCTGTGCAAATGGCTGCACCAGAGTACCATAACAAGGCTATGCGGGCCATGATCCAATTGAAAACAGCTCCTGCTAATGCACCCGAACCGGTACCGGTAGCACCTGCCCTCCCTACAACTCTACACCGCGGATCAATCAATGCATTGCTGTCACCGCCCTCATCATCTGTGCCTTCTTCCAGTAAATTGTACCCCTTACTGCTTCCCGAAGACTCTCATTTGAAGCTACCATCACTCAAGCCTGATGCAGGTCCGTTCAGACTCCCACCCATTAAGGACATGTACCGCCCGCCCTCACCTCATACGTCTGCATCACGATCTCCGGATACATCCCGTGGGACGACCCCTAGCTCGACACGTTCGTCACCTGTGTCCGCTCACACATCCATCACTGGTCTACGCTCAATCACTGAGACATCAGAGAGTGATGAACTAGTCAAGAAAGTTGACAAGATCCAGCTAGATCACCTGACAAAGGAAGTCACACCGGAAGACCGGCAGAAGCATGCAGAGCTCATACGTAACCTGCTTGTGAAGATTAACGAGGATTATCGGAAACGCTTCGGCAGTCCCCAGATGGGATCCTCAAGGGTTTCGCGAACCCGGCTGCCTTCGGTAGATGTGGAGATGGCCGTTGCATAGGCGATAGACATTAATTAGTTATTACAAACCCATCATCACTGTTTTCTGCTTTTTGCACTCTTTACTTGTACACGAGTTTATTGCGAGACATACGTTACATATATTAGGATTGACTGCACTCAAAATAAAATAGACAAAGAAGTCGGCAGGACGCGAGACGCATCATGATCTCTTGAGCGTTAGTTTTATCTTTGGAGCGGAAGGTGTGCCGGGTGCCGCCAGATCTACGTCCTCCATTGCAGATACTGGGGGACTAGTTGCCAACGGAGAAGGAACCGGTGCACCAAAACCAAGGGCCCCGCTAGCTCTGTTAAATCCACTTAAACTAGACATGCCAGCGGAGTTGGGTGGCGGACTTGTTACGGATGTAGGAGTGGCAGGTGCAGGTGCCGTTCCACTATTGAACTCTGCCCAACGAGGACATTTACGGTTAGTTTCTATCAGAAAAAGAGTCACCAGGTACAGCTCGTGAATTAAAGGAAATGACGTACTCATGTGGCCCATCTGACCACAATGACCGCAGCGTCTCTGAACAGGACGTAAGTTCTAAACCTCGTGCTGTCAATCATGCTGAGAACTCACGGTTGTATCTGGTTTGAGCGGCCGGCTGAGTTGCATCGGGGTGCCACCTTCCTTGACAATCTTGGCGTTTTTACGATGCAGACGCCGCTCTTGGTTCTTCTTCATTCGTGCTATCTGTTCTTCCAACCTACGGGGAGATCGGGTTTCAGCTTCACGTTACTTGCACAGCTAGCCATGTATGAACGACCACATACCGTTTTTTGTACCTCTTATCCTTGTCCGCATCACCCGTAGGTGCGAGATTGTCGGCAAGTGTGGCTTCTTCCTCTAATATTTGCCTGGCACGCACATAAGCACGTATGACAGCAGGATCGCGGATGATTTCTGTCTGCCATTCGTCGTCGACCTGAATTCGGGAATGAATAAAGTTTCGAACTTGAAAGAGTTAGACAACAAACCAGTCGCTTAATCCGGAGAACTTTACGACTGTCATTCGGTCCTAAACTCATCTCTCGGTCCCGTTCCAACGAAGAGCCGCGGCTGAAAGCGGGTGATGCAGGGCCAGGACCAATCGGTACTGGTGACATTGCAGGAGAGAAGGGTGTCTCATTCCTGTGTGAAGCTTGCCGTTGTAGCTTCTTGACCTCAACAGGGGCAGGCACTTCATCTTCCTCTGTAAATTGTGGTTCGTCCTTTCTGCTCAATGAATCGAACTGAGCTTTCCATATCCGCTCGATCTCGGATTTATAAATTTGCTGCTGTTCGGCAACATTGTAACGATGTGCGGACTTTGGCCTGTTATCTGCCTCGGCTGATAAAGAAAAATATGGTTAGTTGGCTTTATCGCACAAAAATAATCAAACTTGCCAAGCTTCTGTTCATAATCTTCGCCCGCTTTCACAAAAATATCCTTCATGGAAATGCGGATGAAGCTGAACGCTTCTCCGCGCCCAGTAGGGTCACCTTCCCCATGCAACCGAAGCATAGCTTTAGCCTGGGTGGCGAATAGAAAATTCTTTGTCGTGATCCAAGGCGCCAGCTGTTGTTCAACAGAAAGCTTTGTCTCGCCTTCGTCATCCTCCGCGGTTTCAGCGGTTTGAGTATAGCCAGAGTCTTGGAGATGGCGTTGCCCGACTTGCATACTCTCCATCAACACGACTTGCTCGGGACCGACCATCTTCAGCATATCCACATCACTAGGAATGGTCACGGTAGATTTAAGACGCCAAAACCCTTGATGAGGACCGCGCCTGTGATACTCCATGAACTCCTTTAGCCTCTGCCGCATCTGGAGTTCATTTTGATCGGGAAAGTACTTCATCAATCTTGATATTTTTAGTCGCTCCTCACTGCTCTTTTTCAGGAGTTTGAAAGCGATTATCTGTAAGCGATACTTGATGGTGTTGGTGATCTTCCGAGAGTGTGGCCCTGGTACCTCGGTAACAGGGTACGTCTGGCCGATAACGAACAAGTTCTTGATCTCACGCAAGTAGTACCGTGTCTCGCCTTTCGTGGTACTCCTAATATCCAATTAATAAATTTACCTGACCGGTGAAATTGGAGGACCGTACCTAACGGCCAGGAAGTCTGTAGGATAGGGTTTGTGGCGGAAAAGTGGCGCCCGCACGAGATTGTTATATAGTGCCGGGAATGTTTGGCCAGGATAGACGTAGCCAAACTTCATGAAAGGCGACTCATCTTGCGGCTCGAGGACAAACGGTACCCCAAGGTCAAGCTTAATGAGTCAATTGAATTAAGTGTCGTCCTCACTCATCGTTTGATCCGTACCTTCGGCATGTAGTCGTCTTTCTCGTCTTTCTTACGATAGTAGTTCACCAGCGCGCTACCCATTCCGAAGTTCGGCACAATTGGCGGATGTTCTTCCTAAAGGATACCTCGCTATATCCGATTCCGTCAGGTAAGAGACGAAAAAGACTCACGGAATACTCCCATAGGACGAAGTTACTGGTGTCCTTGAGGCTCAAGTCGGACGTACGATGTAACCCCTCGCCGATATTACCACCCTTACCAACCTTACGGCCCGCTTTGTCCTTTTTCTTCTTTGCCGTGCGCACCTTGCTAAAGCGGATATCAATATTGGTTGGGAACTGCAAGGCGGGCCGGTGGAAGGAGCGGGCTTCCTGCTTTGAAAGCCTTGTCTTGTACTGATAGAGAAGATAGATAAGAAATCATTACAGTCGATGCTGAAATCAATTTACGCACAAATGGAAGTTGGAGCTTCTGAGCGGGATAGGCATGTTCGACGACAAGTTGTCCAAACGTCTGACGCACGCGGTGACGGCCACCTTCTTTCGACACCTCGTAAAAGTGGTCGTTAGACAGGTTAAATTTATCGCGGATTTGAGCATCGTGTGCTCTGATACGCTTTTTTGGTCTGACGGTCTCTACAATTAAATGTCACCTCATATTAGCAAAAGTACCCGTGAAAACAGTGAGATAGAAGAACTACCTTGAGGATGTTCTTCTGTGATATCTTCTTCGTTAAGTTCTAGTTGAATGAAATCGCGGAAAGGGGCATCTTGGCTCCAAATAATGCTCTGCGTCCAAGCACCCGACTCCAGAGCTTTGTTGACAGGAGTGGTGAGATTATTGTCTTCCAGAGTGGATGGCGTAGTTGTGTGGCTCGGCTCGTACACAATCTCGTCCTCCCAATTAGATAGTAGCACCAAATCAAAACTTCTGTCGTGCAAAGGAAGAGTTACGGGCACATCTGATTTTTCTCGCTCCTACACATTATGAGGGAATTAAAAGGAGCACCCGAGATTGGCACTCACCTCGAGAGCACGCAGCAAGTCATGTTCGATGCTGCCCGCGGACATGACTTCCTCCACGCGTTTGTTTTCGACCTGCCGCTTGGTATCACCGACTACGGTATCAAGGAAACCCCTTGGAATGTCACGTTTCCGGGGGTATATACTCTCAGCTATATAACGGTTAACATTCTTGAAGATTCTGTGGTACAATTCGCACCCTGTAAAGGCCTCTTTGTTATCCTCGATTTCTTGACCGTGTACCCTTTGAATAACTCTGAGAAGTCAAGGACCTTGTCCTTCTCGAAGGCTGGAAAGCGTTCATAAACAGTCTTTGGCCTCTCCACTAGCCGCTTCACTATCCTAACGCGCTTCTCCGTAGGACGCATGCCAACAGGAGATTGAACCTCCATCTTTACAAAGTCTTCCGGCATTTCGTTTTCAAACTCCTTGTTCACTTCATCCTCGAAATCCTCTCCCTGATCCGCACCGACGGCATCGTCGTCCCACTTGTCATTGTAAATCTGTTTGGCGTCCAAGGAAGACAATCCTGAAATACCAAGGCTGTTGGGAAGATCGCCTGTAGAGAGGGATAGGCCTGACAGAACACTATTCAGAGAGAATCCTGTCAGTGTTGAAATCACTGAATCTTCATCCTGTATTCGCTATGAAAAGCCACTTGCTAAGGCATAGACACGAGACTCACTTGGTTTGCCATGTCCTTCAGCTTCAATACCTGCTTGTGCAGATACTACTATAGGTTATTATCCTTTCTTTACGGGTAAATAAACGAACCCCGCGAGTATTTTGACAAAGGTAGAGCACTTGGGGCGTACAGACGTCGTACAAAGTCCGGTGGATGCGAGAGTAAGTACAACTTAAGTAACCGGGTGCGATTGACTTAAAGCTGCTTACAAATACTGGCTCACTAACATGAAAGACAATTCCGCCGTGCCAGCGCCTGTCATGATTCTGACCACCATGTCCATGACTAAAGAGGTTGCCAAAAGCATTGAAGTAAGTAGTGCCAGCCGCAACTATGACGCATTTAAAATGCAAAAACAATGTATAGGACTTCCGTGGAAAGGTCGCGGAGACTGCAGAAGGCATCGTCTTCCGCGTGTTCCCAAACAAGGTGAGCTACTTGCTGTGTCTTCGACTTGTTGCTCATGTTCATTGTAGATAATGAATGTTATAATTTCTTTTGCTTTTCCCCCATTTTCTCACCTATATACAGTGAACTTACGAGCCTGATCGAGTCTATGAATGCCGAAGATTCACCCTACCGAATATCTCAAGCGGCCACATCCACAGATACTACCGTCTACCCTCCATTGTCATCAACAGAGACTAATGGTTCATTATCTAACAAGCGTAAGCGCAATGAAGACGGAAGTGCCGCGCCCTCCCATCTGGACGAGACCGTCAATGCAAGATATCCAGAGCGTGTACATGCCAACAAGCTCATCTCGAAGTTGCATGAGACGGTCAAACTAGAGTGTGCACAGCTATCTGACTCTTGTGTACGTATCTGTCCGTTGTGACTTCCTATGGGTATTTTTTGACCATACATAATCAAACAGGACAAAGTCAAATTATGGGTGAACCTGACCATGCCCAAGTACGTGCTATTCGACATTTCTTATTATCTGCATTGACACGAGATTCAGGATTGAAGAGTGAGCCCTTTTTCCTTCCAGTGGGTCGCTTTTTGACGTCTTCCCTCAAACAGTGGTGACAACTTCGGTGAGTTAAATTATAAGTCTTATTTGTGGTGGCTAAACTGAAATCGTCTGCCACCCAAGGTGTTCAAATCCAAGAGGGTAAGTAATCACGGAGTGGCCGTGACATCATTGGTCTGATACGCTTCCAGAGGTTCTTAGCGAACTCCTCCGTTCGCAGGAGAGCGCGTATAATATACGTGATGCTGCGCGCCAACATCATTTGGCAAGAGCGAAGATTTGCTCCAAACTCATCAAGTACCCCCACATAGAAGATTACACAGTACGCACCTCTTGTGTATTATAATCTTAAACCGCTGATGGGATTATTATTTAGCTGGGTTTGAAAGAACATGATGAGAAGCAATTTTTCTTTTCTCGCCAGAACCTCATAGACATACGCAATGTTTACGCTGTTCTCACTGATATCCTGCATAAAAATATTGCCAAGGTAAGTTTTCCGAATCACTCCGTCGTTCTCTCCGTTCATGTTGTGTGTAGATTCGGGCACCCAAAGGAAACAATGGTGTCGGGCTGTACTAATGCATAGATGTTCTGGGTCCAGTAATCTTACCGTATCCATACTGATAATTACAACAACGAGTCGATGACGTTTCGGTTAATGCGTTCCTCTGTTGGTCAGTGATATCTATTATGTAAATTCCAGGTATGTAACTTCTCAAGGTTCTACTTTTCCATCGGCCCGGTGGCAACAATGGCATGTGCAGCCTCTGGCGCACAACTACACTGATATCGTTTTGAAGATGTTGAATCCATCAAGTGCAGTGCTCAAAACTGCGCCTGGAATCTGTGGATGCCAGTGAACTTCCTTGACATCCTTTTGACCTTGATGGACAAAGAGGAGTTGTGGCGGGACGTCTCGTGCACCATCAGGTGTGTCATTCATGGATGTGCCCATTTCGTCATCGTCCGGTTCGACTCCAAGATCCCAAAGGGTCACCTGGTCGTCTGCGCCAGATGCAGCGAATATCGAGTCTTCAGTCGGGTGCCACTCGATAGAGGTTATGGGGGCGGTGTGCCATTTAAAAGAGGCAACGGGGCTAGGCAACACTGTTGTCCTGACGATCTGTGAGCATGAGCGTGACATACAATTTGACCTGGACATACCCTTTCTTTTGGACATTGCGTAGGTCCCAGACCTTGATTCCACCTTCATCACCACCACTAAGAAGGAGGTAACTAGTACTTCTATTCCAGCTAATGACATTCACGTCACTCTCATGCGCTGGCTCGATTCCGGCCACACTTCGCCGTCCTTTACTCCGCACGTCCCAAATCTGCACGCTGCGGTCCGCAGAGCATGATGCAAATACAGTGGGTTCAGATGGGCTCCACTGCAGGTCTTCGACGCTGGAGGTATGTGATGTGAACGGTTGAGAAAGGGCGTTGAATCCCGATGGCGTGGTTGTCGTTAGGTATACCTTCGAGTGCACGTCTCCAGTGAGTAGACGTAGCGATGATGGATTTGCATTTCCTGATGAAGCCCAGTCCATCGCAAACCCTTCGGCACGACCATGCGAGTTAATAGTAAAAGCTGGCTTATTAGTTCTCGACTTGTCCCACGAGTATCCCGGAACGTCCAGAGACTCGATTAGCGGTCTGATGTCCCATATATGAACTTTGCCATTATCGGCCCATGTTGCGGTAAAGTAGGGCTGTGATGCAGGAGGTAGAGGTGATGCAGGAGGTAAGGGTTGGGCACGAACACGGTTTACACCACCGTGATGAGGTACTGAACGGAATTCCAGTATAGCATCTTCATCGAGCGCATCATCATCCTCCTCATCTGAATCTGAATCATCTGCACATGACAATTTATGAGCATCGATGACAAAAACATGAAATCGTACATTACCTCCATCTTTTTGCGTTCGATGTAGTGAGCTCATTTTGAAGACTGAGAGCTCATTTTTGCTTGCTTGATCTGCTTGTGTTCCAGCGACAAGGTATGTAGTTACTGGATACCGCTGCCGCTCGTCCCCCAAACTGTCCCTGAGGACGTCGAATGACAAACAAGGCCATGTCACATTCATCGAATGGCGCATGATATACACTGAGTCGTCAGGCTCCAATATCTCGTCCTTTCCAAGGACATGCGTCCCGGGGATAAATGCCTCTGGAGCAGGAGGTAGTTCTTCGGATTCTTCGATAGCGGGCATGACTTCATCAACATCCATCCCTAAACAACATCACCTGTGAGTTACACTCCGAAGCCACACGAAAAACAATTTCACATACCATCTTCGCCGTCCCCGGTCTCTCCATCAACCACCTCCTCTTCGGATTCGATTTCATCCTCCCAAGCATCCTCGAACTCACCGATATCATTTACTTCATTCTCATCACGCTTAGCACCACTTCCAGATGCCTTCGCAAATGCTTGGCCGTCTGTTTCCCTGTCGGATGCACTTCGTTTGGACATCTCGGATTGAGGTTGCTTGTCTTGCAGATCATAGCTCAGATCTCAAAATTATCGAGCACGTGGTTAGACTGTTGATTACGTAAGTAATTTTTGATGACACCCACCTGAAGCTTGGGCTGATCACGGGGTCCAGCACGGGCTGTACTGGCGGTGTACTTACAACTTGCAGGACCTCACAGGTATTCTAGTGCACACGATCTGTGCAGTTGCACACTACTAGTCCCATTATTCCCTGTATTACGATTCCTTCAAAACAGTGCCTGACCGGCATGCACTTTGCGCGTCATCCCGGGAAGCCTAACACCTGACGGCCTTACAAATGATTCCTCCATGTCATTATGCCGAGCGCTGACGCGGCCTGGCATCACGGGCATTGGACTTTGTGCCTTGGGAATTATGAATCTGCTTTTACCAAGCCAAGAGACGCGTAAGTATCCGACGGGGTGACGCGTAGAGTCAGAGTAAGTACGCGTACCGTACCATGAGTACTTCTGAAGGCCTGAAGCACTATAGTGGCTTACTATAAATGAAGACCACGGTTCAGCATGATAATATCTCCATAAACTGCACTCCAAGTTACTTCTCTCAAATTTCAAGCAATAATGACTCTACCTGATGGGTGCGTTCAAGTTGGCTGACTGACCATACTCTTTCTGACGACTTCATTTCGTATAGTTATGGGTATGTTCCGAGTTCATTGATCACCATTGGGTGGGTCCTTGTCTGGCAGAGTATTATGGTTGGAAGGTACCGCAAGAGGGCAGGGATCGAGTTTCCTCAACGTGCGTTCAAGTGACTTCTTACTAATTCCAGACTCCCTTATACCTTCCACCACAGTGTATGCTGAAAAAGCTGAGGTCAAAGATTCCGCTGCAGCCCTTCGTTTCAACTGCATGCAGCGTATGTTTTCTTTAAATTTGTAGTTGCGTGGCGTTTGATTCACCCTTGACCTAGGTGCACACCAAAATACGCTTGAAACGGCACCCGTAGTATTCGTTTCGTAAGTCTGCATTGAATTCGAGGAGAAAGTGACACATAACAGGGGTTACCGTCAGAACTGTCATGGCGGGTCTGAAGTACCCTGCTCTAGCTACTGCCATATGTGTTGCATATTCCTTCGCGCGCATCGCTTATACCATTGGATACAAGTCGGGCCAACCAAAGAGGGTTCGTTGTTGCGCCTTGTTATAATACTCGACATCATCTCATTTATTTTTTTCAGCGGGTGTATGGAAGTATCGTCAGCAATTTCTCAGTGCTTGGTAAGTAGTATGATCTGTATCTTGCCTTCCCTCTCTTAATGTCTCTCTAGGACTCTTGTCGACTGCTACATACGTTGCTTACCAGCTCCTTCCTTCGTGTCAATGACACCAATCACATTGTGAATAATTTATCTCAGAGGGACCCAATTCATGCAGTTTGCCTCACGAAAAACGATCAAATACCAGCACGTTCTTTTGTCATCATCCTTTCTGGCAAGCTAAACTATCTAACGCACGATTTTATAATAACTCACGCGTCTGTGACGATATGATGGCTTCGCGGCAAATGGATGGTCTTACGATTCACGTGCTTGCAGCCTGCTACTAGTGTCGCGCTGACAACTCATGCTACAGGTTGCTGCGCGAGTCAGTCACAATATTTCGTTGAAGTTCATTGTTGTTCTGAGTGATTCGCCTCCGCTTATTGGCCTGGATGCCATTTTGTCCTCCCGGGTGATATACATATATGTTTTTATCCACAAAGTCGGGTTTTTGCCCTTATCAAAGCGACTAAGTTTGTAACATAATGGGAATGCCCCTGTGGATTTGGTAACTGTCCGGGAAGGCCACGACGTTGTCTGTCATTCATCTACGGTGCTCATTAGCTTTTCCTTCCTCAACCATGTCTGAATCATATAATCGTCTGCCCTTTCCAACCTCGTCCGAAGAGTTTGCACTCCCATCAACGTCGAGCGTGGCATCTTCTACATCAGCCGACGATGGACTGCCGAATCCACTGTTTTTGAGACTACGACGACCGACATTACTCAACAAGTCACCGTACTATTCAGACAAAAGGATACAAAGTCCGTTGGCAATTTCGTTCACTGTGGCCTCCAGAAGACGAGGGAGTAATGGCGAAGAATCAGAAAGTGACCGAGAGAGAATGTGGTCTGAAAGCTCTCCATCAAGCAGCTCAGGAAATCCAACACCCCCAATTACTCTTCCACTAGAAGGAGATGACGAAAGCAACGCTAGCACACGCAGTGGTGGGCCCAGTCCCTCAACGCCGCCGCCAAGTCGCAACCTGAGCACAAATGGACTACCAGCCAATGCTGGAGACACGTCTATCCCAATATTGCGCCGTCCTACTTATCCAGTGAGTGCTATGCTGCGTAGTCATTATTCGTATGCTAATACTAATATCTCATGTAGCTGAAGCCTGCGCGCATATTGAATCTGCTAGCAGAACCACGTCCAGAAGAGGACGAACTTCAGTCTGAAGCAGCTTTCCAACGCCTGTTGGCATCGCACTCCGACCTCCCCTCGCAACCCCGTACACCTCGTGCACCCTCAGACCGTGGTCGCTATCCTGAAGAAGTGGGCCACGAGGATTCGCACGAGGATCCTTTGAGTGATGATGACGACGACGACGTCCAGGGCCTTTTTGCCTTTGATATACAGAACGAAACAAACAACGTCAAGCCTTGTACCCCTGCTCAGAGTGTAAATGGGGATGATTTGAACATGTCCCTGGCAGAAAGCCCGATGGGAGTGGCCATGGATGTAGATCCCGTATGTTTCCACTATCTCATTCGTTATCTCTTGTTAACCGCCGGGCAGCCTATGGTATCTCCCTCCATCATTTCCACGCCCATGTCTATTCAATGGCGATACACGCCACCACCAACCACAAGCGCGGTGCGCTCGAACAAACGTAAATGTAAGATAGTCGCACATCACTCGAAGGTATCACATTAACAAGTCGTGGCAGTGGACGACAGATATGATCCATATCCTACATCCGCAAAACGCCGTGCCGTATCGCCTTCCATATCATACTTGCGAGAAACACACCCCTCACTCGTGTCGTACCCTCGGACACCTAGTTCCAGGCCTCCAGTCCCGATTCCTCTTTCTATCCCTCCATCCAATTCTAGTACTTCAGCCACCTCGTCGCCCACTGTCACGTCCGGTTACGCTTTCCAAGCTTATCCGGGTTCACGGCAGGTAAACCTGGGAACCATGAGCTTATCTTCTAGCCCCGTACTTCGGCCTTCTTTAGGGCTTGTGAGTCCGATCTTACGGCCGATTCTGCGGACGCGGAGAGGAGCTGATGGCGAGGAAAGGGAGATCGAGGGCGCAGGCGAAGCCGTGAATGGATTATCACTGAGCTGAGTGACCGTAAATGGGCACCTTGAGTGACATACAGAATAGTAATTCTGGTCGCTTTATCTGCGTTTACTGATCTGGTTCGGGAAGTTGCGCAAAGTGCGCGGGCATTTGCTTCCACGCACGCTTGAATCGGACTGCTTTCCAAGGTGTTTGAAGCCCTTCGTTCTATAGCAATGGGCTAATACATCTCACTGCGAAGCTGTCCCGTATTGCGCAGTTGCCTTGGCAAGCTGGTTCAAGGCTCTCCCGTACTGCACCCACATTATGTACAGCATCACGTGATGTAATTACAATACATACTTTTTATATCCAATTTGCCGTCTTATTCGCTTCAAGCGAACCCGGCAGGAACGTGCCACCTCTCAAAAGACGCGCCCAGGATCCTATATAAATATCAATATGTCTTCAACTCCCAAGCTCACCAAACGCCAAAAAAAGGGCATAGCTTTCCGTGAGGGCAAAGGCAAATCGAAAAACCAAGGAGACCTGGAGCACGATGTCCCTATTCTCGAACTTCAAGACCTTATTGACGGTCGGGCTAGCGGTGAGGAGGGTGGGGAGGACGTTCAAGGCGCTCAAAGGAGTGTTGGGGGGGAAAGGAAAGGAAGGAAAGAGGCCGTGGTTCAGAAGGACGGAGAGAAAGAAGGGCTGGTGGTGGCAAAGAAAAAGAGAAAGAGGGAAGTTGCGGAAGATGCACAAGGAGCCGGAGATCTAGAGGGAGAGGATGGGCCGTCGGGGAAGCGGGGAGTTAAGAGAACCAAGGGAGATGCTGGGGATGTTGCAGAGGATGCTGAGCAGGGAGAGTCAAAAACTGAAAAATCAAAACAACGTTTTATTCTGTTTCTTGGTACGATCGAGCATCCTGGGGAGTCCCTCCGCTTAACTGACACCTTGACCTCAGGAAATCTTAAATATACCACCACTTTAGAATCAATAGAGGCTCACTTCGCAGCATGCGGTAAGTTATTACAGTAATTTGCAGCACAAGGAGGTTTTGACATCGGCGCTCAGATCCACCACCTACCGTCCGTTTACTTGCACCTAAACCAGCTGCTAATAAAACACCTTCAAGACCCGTGATGAAATCCAAGGGATGCGCTTTCCTTGAATTCAGGCATCGCAATGCTCTTCAGCAGGGCCTCAAACTGCACCACTCCAGTTTGGATGGTCGTCAGATCAATGTTGAACTTACTGCTGGCGGTGGCGGCAAGGGCGAAGCGAGGCTGTCGAAGTTGAAGGAACGGAACAAGGAGTTGGAGAGTCAGCGAGTGAGCCACGTTCCCAGCGTAGTCTACTTGGTGCTAAGTAACTTAATTGCACAGCAAAAACAACTCCAGAAGAAAGCCAATTCAAAAGGTGAAGAGCCAACGTCTAGGGTGGATGCGGCAAAGAGATTCTCTACAACATCAGGCGCCGATCAGGAGGTACAGAAAAAGCGGACATGGACGGTCGGTGACACGGAAGACTCCACGACACATCGCGGGGGAAAGAAGCACGCGAAGGCTGATAAAGCACGGCGGACCAAAAGCAAAGACTGGGGTACTGGCGTTAATGCTATCCCTGTCGGCTGAATTTTCATTTTGTGGAGTATTCTGCGATTCCTTCCTATGATGTGAGATATTAAATTATGATATGAATATCGTGCTAGTAAATATGCGACAAAACGGCGCTTAACGTCCACTCATGAGACAAGAATGAAGACAAGGAACTGGTGAAGGGGTTTAGAACTCGCATGCCTGTATTTCTCGAGAAGGACAAACTCACGAAGACGATCAACACGCCAAAGACCTTGAGCATCAGCCAGCGGTTGCTCGAGATGCTCGCGTAATACTTGAGCAGCTCTCTCTGTGCACCGCTCACATTCGACGCGATATCCACGGTGTCTGCGTCAATGCGTTGTACTGTTTCTCGTTGCTCGGCAACCATATTGGCCAGTTGAGTGAATATTTGTCCTAGTTCTGCAATTGTCGATTCGATGGATTCTATCGCTGTTGATCTCGATTGGATATACGAGTCCTGGAAGTCTCTCAGTATAAAGTGTAATTGAGCAACATTCAACTGAATCACCTGTTGTTCGATTTGCTGCATCTGCATGAATGCATTGCCTCCGTGTTTTGTTGAGCCCTCCTCGGCTGAATCAAGGTCCAATGCGAGAACGTCTTCGTTTTGAAAGGCTCGGCCTTTGCCTTTGGAGTTAGGTCGGCTTCCGTCACCCATAGGGTCTTGTCTCCCGTTTAGAAGTAGCGAACCTGATAGGCGAATTGGTCGCGAGAGCTCGTTTATGCACCAATGATGACTTACTCGGTGGAGCGTGGTGGGTTGCGGCTGCCGTAGAGAACATGAACTGCTCTGTACGGTCTTTGCTTTCTTTCATGTTCTAGAACTCCATTTAGCCTGAGTTGCTGACATGCGGTTTGGCGGCTCACTTGTGTCCTAACTTCCAGAACATCCTTGAAGCTCATGCTTGTATTTGCCAACTTGCTCTGCAGCATCATGACCACATTGTGGTTGTGTTCCTCAATCTGTTTCCCCTCTGAAGATTTTGATGCTTGTGCATTCCTTTGCTTAACATAGGATTGTAGAGCGGCTATTTGCCTGTTTATGTTCGCAATGTCTTGTTTAATGATAAATGTCAATTCCTGAAGGATTCATGTTAGCGTACTGCGGACACGTCGGCGAAGAAGCATACACTAATCTCCACTGGTCTGTCGTCAAACAGTGTCTTCCGTTTCGCGACTGGAAGCTGGTCAATAAACGCAGTGAACAATAAGACGTTGTACTTACGCTGCGCAAGCTTTCCTAGTTTTATGGCAGTACTGCTGATATCTTTCCCAATGGCCGAGGCCATACGCGAGAATTCGCTCTTTGCTCCTCCATTGCTGTGGGATTGAAGTAACTTCTGTTTCGCCTCAGCGGTTCGAGGTGGTACAGCGGACCTGTTTCGTATGGACTCGACGCATGAACGAAACTCGTGTGTTCTATCTTGTATTGCCATGGCGGGTTGTGTCTATAAGGAAAGAATAAGGTATTAAATATAGATGATGAGTATGCGTTGGACGAAGGGCGAGGTTGTAAACACCGGCTGCGGCCGGCCACCGCGTCTTCCGGCCGGCCATCAACATTGAATTTATGGTCTAAGCCCGGCAACAACGCCGTGAGCTTTTACTGGATATGATACTTACTCGAGCACTCCTTGCTACTTTATGCTACTTGACTAATCAGAGCATCTTGGCCAGTTGTGCATGCTGCGTTATATTGCTATTCGACGTAATAATACCGTCAAGAGCAAGCTACATCCACGGGCCAGTGTTATCCTCTGCTCTCATCATAACCATTTCTTCAGGCGTAGCACTCACTCCACCGCCTCTCTCTCTACTGCGAAATTCACTATGCTGTCATTACCCTCGACCCCGCCCCCAAAATCGAAAATTCTGGTCTTTGGAGCAGGCAATTTTGGAAGCTGTTTGGCGGACCATCTCGGAAACTCAGACCATGAAGTATTCATGTGGTCTCGAGAAGCTCGTTTCGTGGAATACTTTAACAAGCATCACCGGAATCCAGACTACCTGAAAGATCACGAATTTTCAGCGAATATTCGCGTTGTTGGCCCGGAGATACCCAGCAAGGCGATGATGAAACAGATGGATGTTTTACTTTTTGCAATACCAACGCAAGGTGTCAGGTGAATATCTCATGGACCTGTCTCAGATTCCGTAGTTTATTTGAGATCGGAACCAACAGAGAAACGCTCATCAAACTACAATACAGCTTCGACCGCGCAAACTTACCTTTGATGATTTTTGTCAACAAAGGTATTGAAACAGGCACACATGCACTAACGCTCGAGATCATTGCTGATACCTGCGGAAGTGAAATTGCGCGCGCGGCAACTTTTATTGTAAGCGTTGTCTTGTCTGCTAATCTCCGTAGTCGTGACTCTGGTAGTCCGGACCATCATTTGCAACGGAAAGTACGTTCAGAATTTGAAAAGAATCATGCCTCCTCCTGAGAAGAACCCCAAGTTGTTCGCAGGCAACCGACGTCTGTTTCTGTCGCATCTCTAACAGAATCGCAAGCAAAGAAAGCGTCAGAAATATTCCATCAGCCGTGGTTCCGGTGGTAGGACTTACCCTATTCCAATCTTGGCGTTTTGGTTCAAGGTGCCATACAGTTACACTGGATCTGATCCGATAGGGTTAGAACTTGCAGGTGCCCTTAAGAATGTTTACGCTATCGCCACAGGCCTTGCCGATGGACTCGGATTCGAGAATAACACGAGAGCCGGTAGGTTTGTTACATTCTTCAAATCAGAATTGTAATTATAGCTGAACGGGAAGGTCTTATTACTCGCGGCCTCGCCGAAATGACGCGAATCGGAACTGCGTACGGAGCATCACCATTGACGTTCTTAGGATTGGCTGGTGTGGGAGACCTGTTTCTTACGTGTAGTTCGCCGACCAGTCGTAATTACACCGTGGGTTATCGACTAGGTAAAGGAGAGCCGCTGGAAGATATTATCAAGACACTTGGTAGTGTAGCTGAGGGAGTGACAACGGTGAAGGGATTGAAGAAGATTATCGATGAGATGCAAGTGTCTGCGCCTCTTGCCAATGGGGTGCGTAATACGATCTGCCTTTATGTTTCAGCTAAAACAATCTCGCTTTGGCCGATTGCAAACCCAGATATATGCTCTTCTCTATGAAGGTGGGTGCAGATGGAGCCTGATTTGCCTAATCTGAATGTCTCGTGTAGGGAAAGACCTGCATGAAGGTATACAAGAATTAATGTGTCGCCCACCGTCACGCGAACTGGACCTACCGGAGAAAGCAGGGGAACCTGCCAAGAGGTTGATGCAGAAGCTTGGATTGGACACATGAACCTTTTCGTATACATAGTTCAAGTAAAGTCTCGAACAAGGCTCCCGTTTCCGCATAACATGTGATCGTAACTTGATAACACGTCTTCCTGAAATGGAATGTTACATCCGGTGCCTAAATCAATGACCCACGCGTCGACGTATACATGCATACGTAAGCAATGCGAGAGACAACTGATTATTGTCCACGTCCAATAATTTATTTGATTGTAGTCACATCTTCTGCTGTCTGCAAACCTGGCCAGCGTGAGGTGGTCTATATAGATCGGGAGAACCAGATAAGATTTCCCCACATAATAATATATTACTTTTAAATTACATAAGCGTATCCAAGTAAATATTTTCTCACGCATTTTTTTTACTTTTTTTTTTTTGTAGGGGCGTGCCACACTCCGAAAGCCGATTCAAGCCAAAGTTGAGGTCGACGTGTCTAGGTCACATCTTTTCTTCCTTTCGCTCAGTTTCTCAGATCTGCCCTCGGTTCATTCTGCGTAGCCCTATTTGTTCTTTTTCTTCATCCATTAGATTTACTATAGGATTTGCGACATGGTCTCACAGCTCTGGACCGCTTGCTCTGAGGGAAACCTCGAAACAGTCCTTAGCATACTCAATGATGCATCTTCGGTCGATATCGAGATCAGAGGTGTGTTGCTCGCATTTTTAATTTTATGTGCAGAAACTTAATATCATTTCCTTTGTCTCCACCTGCAATTCTGTTACAGATCACACAGGGTCCACTCCCCTCATCGAAGCAGTCAAGAACGGACATGTTGATGTGGTGAAGGTGCTACTCGACCGAGGTAATATAATTCACGCGTCAAATTGCGATTATCTCATCGATTGTATGATCAGGTGCCGATCCTTCTTTTGCATCTGTGCATGGCCGGCCAGAAATGTACACATCTGATGCTGCGATCTTGGAGCTGTTCAATAATGCCCAAAACAAGCCTGCACCCAATGGTGTACCTGCACAAGAGCAAGGCTACACCCAGGATTCGATGGTTAATCCTGCGAAACCCTACTATCCTGTCCCCACTGGACCTTATGCTTATTACCCAGGCATACCCCCTATGCCGACATTGCCCGATGGCTCTCCTGCGTATTATGCGCAGCCCCCCATGCAAATGGGTGAAAACGGAGGTTTTGGAAACCTCCCTCCGCCGGAAGTGGCACGTTTCATTCCTTGCAGATACTTTCCTGCTTGTCGTTACGGTTCCTCTTGTCTCTTTGCGCACCCTCAAGCTGGCCCGTATTATTCTGCTCCGCCGCCGCCGCCTGCACAGTATCCCGCTCCTTATGATGCAATGACTCAACAACCTTATGCCCCTAATTATTACGCTGTACCTCCACCTACATATCACCCTCCAAGTTCGGTCCCTCCTCACATCAACCCCGCATCGCCTACCGCAGGTCCCGTTCATACTCCTCCACACCCGCCGATGGTTCACACCAGATCTGGTTCAGAAGCGATATCGCCTGTCCAGGTTCCTTTCAGCCCTTCCGCTGCACCTGCACCAGTACCATATGGTGCTGTATCACCTGTATCACCATCGTACCCACCACCATCTCATGTACCTCTTCCACTTTCTATCCCTTCGCTTCCGCCTCCCCATCAACCACCTAGTGCCCCAGGTCCGCAATCGCCGCAGACAGTATATCCGAATGGCCCAATTTCTGCCCCTCCATTCGCTGTTCGTCAAGATCCTGTACCATATCAATCTCACGGCCCGCACCACCACCATGGATTCAATGAAGCCAGTAGTGGGCCAAAGCCACCTCCTCATACTGAAGGCTTTGGCCACAGTCCAGTGTTCCGCCAGGGCGTGAATCAAAATCGCCGGGGTAGTATGAGGCGTGGATCCTTTGGCGGAAGTCGTAAACCGGCTTGCCTCTTTTATCCTGCAGGCAGGTGCAGGAATGGGTGAGTCATCATGATTCCACCATTCATTGCTATATATTCAATAGAAACACTTAGCGATGAATGTCGTTTCCCTCATGTTCTTCCTGATGTTACGAATACTCATCCCCCTCATTTTAATGGGCGGGGTCCACGTCCAAAGGATAACGCGCGGAACGGACCGAACGGTATCCCTACGATTGAGGAAAAAATGGCTCACTTGAACGTCCGAGAAGTATGATTATAATTCTAATCCTGGGATTTGCCCTGATTAGTTTATGGTTTACAGGATGCCCAGCCTCGCGTGAACGGCACCGCAGCTTCTAGCCGATCTCAATCGACAGACGGCAGCCGCTCGAGGGGAACAAAGTCCAATGGTCCGTCTCGAGCGGAGAAAAAATTTGCCCCGAAGCAGAGGGTTCCCAATGCAGATGAGTTTCCTGTACTGGGCGGTTCGACAAATTCGTCGAGAAGTTCTGTTAATGGGTCATGCGGTCCGACGGCAGCACAAGTACTTCAAGCGCCCGCGCCCGCACGCAAAGAAACCGCGAAAGACCCAGTGACTCGTGCTGCATCTCCAGAACAGAATTCTGTAAAAAACCAGGCTGTGAGTTTTATTGGTAATAGTCTTGTGTACTGGACTGATTGGTTTGTAGGAATCGAAGCCTGCTGGGGTCAATGGCGTACAACCTAATGGCACGCCTGCTACTGTCCCACCCCCCGCCAAGTTGCCCCTCTCTTTTGCAGCTGCGGCGACGGGGACCGCGCCTGAAGTTGCAAAGGAAGTGTCTGTCTCTGCGTAAAACGGACCTATCTTTACATTTATGTCATCATCGGGTTTCTCGCTTTACTTTAATCTGATATTTCTTGGTTCATTCATCCGACTCCATTTATTTATCTTGCTGCCATATTTTTCTGCTGTTTCTGGATCATTTTCCGCATATACTAACTATCCATTACCATGATTTCACACTTGTCTTTTTTCGTCTGGTCAATACAGCATTACAGTTTTTTCACTCGGTACCCTTGATATCTAGAAGAGTCCAATTTTTTTCTCTCATTGCGCTCTTGTCTCATTTATCTACTGGTGTTGATCTGTCTGCTGGGGTACACATACTATTTACATCTACTTTCGACACTGACTCCCTCTCCCATCTCATATCATGTCTTGCTCACATTCAGTATCAATATCGCAATGTTTTCATGCATACTGTACCCATGATCGAGACTCCGTCCCGCGAAAGCAAATACAAGGCGCTCTCGCGTCTCGTTTATCGAGCGAATGTAGCGTGAATGCATCCTGATACTTGTACTAATGCGGACGAATTGACTGTATTTGTTTCTGCTACGTTTTCAGTGGTGCATACAATCAAGCATTTTGCTATCGAGGACCCCAACACTCCAAATTCCTCATCTCAACTCCACTCTTATCCGTCACCTCACCAATTCGATAAACAGCAGCGTCAGCAGTCTCTTGCAAGACCTGCACAGCCCTATCCACATCCTCCCGGCCCACAATAAGCACCAACCCAATACCATTATTGAACGTACGAGCCATTTCCGAAGGCGCGATCCCCCCACGCTGCACCAGGAACCGGAACACAGGGGGGAGCTGCCAAGTCGACACATCGATGAATGCGCCCATTCCTTTGGGTAGTACCCGCGGGATGTTCTCGATAAAGCCACCCCCTGTGATGTGAGACATGCCTTTTAAAAGTCCTTGGTGTACAGCTGGGAGGACTTGCTTAATGTATATCCTAGTCGGCTCCAGAAGACTGAGCGCGAGTGTTTTTCCATCGTCCCACGGACACGTCGAGGAGTATGACAGGTCTGTCATCTCGATGACTTTTCGAACGAGCGAGAACCCGTTCGAGTGGATTCCAGAAGAAGCGACTCCGAGGAGGACGTCTCCTGGCATGATATCCGCACGAGGAAGGATCGAACTTCGCTCGACTGCGCCGACTGCGAAGCCTGCGAGGTCGTAATCGCCTGTGTGTTTGTTTTGTTATGACAAGGGGTGGATTCCCTGGGTGGAGGACACTCTCACCATCTTGATACATCCCTGGCATCTCTGCCGTTTCTCCACCGATCAAGGCACAGCCGGCTTGTTGGCAGCCCTGTGCGATACCCTTGATGACGTCCGCGGCAGTGGCAACGTCCAGTTTGCTGCATCCGTAATAGTCGAGAAAATAAAGCGGCTCAGCGCCCTGCACAAGCAGGTCGTTGACTGACATCGCAACGAGGTCGATTCCTGGGAATAAAGTCGTCATACTCGATTAGCGACTCAGATGTGACCCACTCACCGACCAGATGGTGGATACCGGCATCGACAGCGATACGAAGTTTCGTACCCACGCCGTCTGTCCCGCTGACCAGCACGGGATCTTTGTAGCCGGTTGCTTTGAGGTCAAAGATACCTCCAAAACCCCCTATTTCTACATCAGCGCCGGAGCGCTTAGTGGCACGCACATATGGCTTGATGGCTTCCACAAGCTCGTTTCCGGCATCTACTGAGACTCCGGCCTGCGCATATGTCAGGCCGTTTGATGGAGTTTGAATTGATGATGTCAGTGCTCTACGATGTGTCAGCTTTGGTTATGATCCGATGGATAAGGTGCCTGCCTGTGTGCGATGTCTCGCCTGTAAAACTTGCCCTCGAATGAGATTTTGTCGACAGTCGCATAAACTTGCGCAAGAGCCTGTTCCAGGGTTGGTGCAGAGCATGTTACTGCCATAACACGGCCACCAGATGTGATCAGATCATTTCCGCTCATCGATGTTCCGCAATGGAACACCACGACATCTGACATAATAAGGTTAATCGATCACCCAAGATCAGTAAATAGAAAAGGCTATACCAGATGGGACCTCGCCAATTTGGATTAGCTTCCCCTTGGCATAGCTCTCGGGATATCCTCCAGAAACGAGGATAACAGAGACTGAGAAGCCTGGACGCGTGTTGATTTGGACAGAATCTAGGTGGCGTTCTGCGCACGCCTATTGGATAGGAGAATCAACAGCCTCTCGGAAAAGCTGATGATGGATGGACGCACGAGAAGGACTGCAGCGAGATCGACGTCGTCGCTCAGGAGCATCATGAGTGCCTCGGTTTCGGGGTCCCCGAAACGTACGTTGTATTCCAAGACCTTGGGCCCGTCGGCAGTGAGCATGAAGCCTGTGAAGAGGAGGCCGACGAAAGGGAATCCTGAGGAAGGTGAGCGGGAGATGGGCTAGAAAAGAGATAGGATATACCCTCTTTGCGCATGCCGTCGATAGTGGGACGTAGAGACTCGGTCATAATACGATCCATGATTGCAGGTGTTGCCACAGGGGCAGGGGCATAGGCGCCCATGCCTCCAGTATTGAGACCGGTGTCCCCCTCGCCGATACGCTTGTGGTCCTGTGCGGCAGGTAGGGGTACGATAGTGTACCCATCAGAAAACGCAAGCACAGAGATCTCAGGGCCTTGAAGAAGTTCCTCGATCACAACCTCATCGCCTACGAAATGGTATCATTGTATTTATAGGTTAAGAAACGGTAGGGACAAACCTGCTGATCCAAAAGCATTGTCTAGCATGATAGATCGCAAACCTTGGATAGCCTCATCAGTAGAGGATGGGATAAGGACGCCTTTTCCGCCTGCAAGGCCACTTGCTTTTAAAACGACAGGGTGACCACATGTTTGAACGTAGTCGGTGGCGTCCTGAAGTTGAGAAGAAGAGAATGTTCTAAATTTAGCGGTAGGTATAGCATTACGGTGCATGAATGCCTTGGAGAAAGCTTTGGAGCCTTCCATCCTGGCTGCCAGCTTTGTGGGACCGAATACGGGTATGCCAACTGGATAAAAGATGAGTAGATACAAGGTGATGAGCGGGGAGGGGAATAATAACCGTCACGAAAGCATTTTTCTACGCCGAGAACGAGAGGATCTTCTGGACCCGGTACTACGAGATCGATCTAGTCGGATAAGAATTGATATCAGATGGGTTTGATAGAAAAATACCTTTTGGTTTGCGGCGAAATCGACGAGATCGTTGTAAGGGTGGATAAGAGGAAAATGAAGATTTGAAGTTTTTTGATTTTTAGCAGATCCTGGATTACCGGGACATACAAATATATGTTTTACGGTAGAGGACTGGGCAAGTTTCCATGCGAGAGCATGTTCTCTGCCTCCACTACCGAGAATTAAGATCTGCGTGCTCATCGCAAAGATGAGTGAATGGATGATAAATAGTAAGACGGAGCTAATAATTGACGCCTGACACAAGATTCGGGTTTATCATGTCGAATTACAGAAATCCGGTATTCTCAAACGTTCTTGAACCATTTGAAGAGGTAACCATTGATGGACCAAGTCAACCGACCGGCTCACGGTTCTCTTTGTTCTCCCGCGTTACGCGATCGCTAATTTCTTTTTTTCCCTTGTACTAGATTCAAGGCGCCGGCGTGTTTGACCGTCGTCTGGCTGCAACAAACCCCCATGAAGAACTCATGGAAGAACAATCTGAATTGCAGCGTAAACTTTCAAGAAGGTCCTCAAAAAATACATCAGCAAGGTCTTTATGGAAAAGAAAATCCACAAAGAAGACCGCCGCAGCACTAGCTACAGCCGCTGGACCTGCACTTAAACACCTGGACCTGCAATCTTCTCAATCTCTAGTCTCTATGGACTCAAAACTCGCAAACGACATTTCAGACGAAGACCACGATTTTTCTGCTTTCATCTCTCGTTCAATAATCCCAGATCCTCTAGGTGAACTACCAGCTTGGTTCAAGAAAGAGAACGGCATGGCTGCTGCAAACACTTCATCTTATAGGATAAAATATCCTCTGCATAATCCAACAGGTCCCAAGTGGTACAAGAACTACCACCTTATTCCCCCTGCTCAGCTCAATCCTAGTAATCGTCCACCGTCCGTCTTCTCTCCTTCATTTCCACCAATGGCTTCCACTCTCAACGACCGTTCAGAGGACTCTATCCGCTTGCCTGGCCCGAGCCGCACTCCCTCTGGCACTTCCCTTCAAACTCCCTCTTCCTCTCAGATTCGCATACCAGAATCAGGTGGTAAACCTCGCAGCAGAAAAACTTCACAGGATAATGCCGATTTGCTCGACGCCTCTGACCCCTGGGGTACTCACTGGCATCACCAGTCCCCGTACGATACAGGCACGAATATAAGTCCCGTCTCAGTCGACCCTCCCGAGGCAAGTGGCTTCTATTCTACTCTCATATTTTAACTCATCTTCCTCTTCAGGGTCGCTCTCGTTCTCGTTTGTCAAGCATGAATGGCACACCGACTCGTCGTAAGACAGTCACCCCGTCTCCATTATCTCAATCTACATCCGCACTGCACACACAACCATCTGAGCCGAACATCACCCGTAAACTGAGTAAACGCCGAAAACCCGTGTTGGGCAACCTGTTCAATGGACAGGACTCGTTACAAGTGCCGGATACATCTGCGCGTCGTCACTCCACTATCTTGCCCACCTCCGTGCCTAATACATCTACTGTAGCTCTATCAACGCATTCCTCAAAGAAGGAGCGACGAACAAGTGTCTTAGGTCGACTGGTGAGGAAGTTCAGCATGTTGACCAAGTCTACTCAAGACGTGGGACCTACCATCAGCGAACGAGCAGAGGATGAAGTTGCTGCACCTTCTGAGCCTCGCCGCTCTTTTTTCTCCCAACGACAGCCTTCTCCAGAGAAGACGTCGATGGAGAAGAAGCACTCGGATCCATCCAAGCGTGTACCGCCGCCACAGATAGAAATTGACTTACAGACAACGGAAGGGTTGGGTCCTTCGCCAGAATTGGAGCGCGAGATACCCGACTATCGGTCGTCTATCTCGTTGGAGGTGCCATTTTCGCCTGGACGGTTGACGATAGCAAACCCAGATGCGCCCAGTACGGGAGGGAGTACGCCGATCAGGCTAAGCCTTGCGTTGCCGCCTGAGGACTCGCCTCACATAAGTGTTTCACCGCTACTACAGCCCGTGCAGCACCGTCACGATAGGAACCCCAGCAGGGAGTCGGTGGCTCATCCCACTAGCAAGACATCGCCTGTCAAACGCAAAAGCCCTGCACCTGCACCTTCACTCTCTGTTCCTGATGCGGTTCGCTCTCCCGCGAGCGTTCAGTCACTACCACCGTTATCCACCCATCGCCGCGCCCCGTCTATTCCCTCGTTGTCGATGGGCCCGTCTTCCTTGTTGACCTCGCCCGTGGCAGCCCCGGAGGTCAAAACATTTCATGCTTACTCCATCGCCACCGCCGCCATTATATCAACGTCGGATGACTCGCCCTTGTCCAGGGCATCAATCCTTGTCAACCCACCCACACCACATAACCCTGACGAGTTACACGCGGACCTTCCGTTTGAATTGCCTGAAATCGAGAGGGTACCGAGCAAGGCACCCTCACGGGAGACATCTCCCGTCAAGAAGGGTGATGGTGAAGTACGCATGGCCAAGTCAAACTCCACGACGAGCCGGAAGACGGAGACGTTCAGGTTGGTGAGGAACCCGTCTGATAAGGTTTCATCGTTTGATAATACTATCACTGCTGAGGGTGAGCAATGGACTGTCGTCAATTCTTCTGACGCTCCTCGCCGGAGGCGGACAAAGGAGAAGCCTGTAGAAAAGAGCGAAAGGGTGGAAAGGGTAGAAAAGCCATCGTCGCGGTCTTCAGCGAATTACCACGAGAGCGAGAGGGTCGAAAAGCCGTCGTCGCGGTCATCGACGAAGGATCGTGAGAGCAGTAGGAGGGATCAACGAAGGCAGGATAAAGCTGCTCATGAAGCTGTTGAGAACCAGGGACGTGCGGGTAGTAGTAGTCAAGGTCAAACGAAACGGGCGAAACCAGAAACAGCCGACTCCGGCACCCTCTTGGAACGTCCTTCGCGAGCGCGTAGTTTCGATACCACCTCCCGTACGAGCGTTAATCAGCCGATGGTGTTTATGCTTCAAGGCGAGCCACCTCGTCAGCGCAAGAGCGATGACCGGCCACGCGACTCCTACAACCCAAAGCCCATCCGACCTGGTCCGAGTCCTATTTCTGGCATCGCACATGTCGAACGCATGCCTTCAAACACAACCCGTCCAATTTCGGAACTCCCACCTGCTGCAGATATCAATGCCCTTCGCGCACGCGAGGCATGGGAAATGGATCGCTTATGGAAAGGCAGAAGCATGAATCACCAGGAGTCCAACATGATTGCCTCGCCGTCCAGTCGCGATTCACCGCAGGTCAACGGAGAGTTCAGAGTAGATGCCTCTGGGCACGGTTCGAGTCACACGTCGTACCTCGTTCAGCCGCTCCAAGCACATCCTATGCCCGCGAGCGTGTTTTATGCCAATATGCCTTCTGCGCCTCCCCCAATTATCTACACTGCCTCGTCTCCGTATGGACAGGTGCTTCATCAGGCCTCCCACCAGTCTGTTTACCGATCCCTCCACAACTCTTTCACGTTCCCTTCTACAGAGCCCCCAGCAGACTCCCCTTCTCGCCAGAACCCTCTACCACACCCCCCGCGTGAATCATCCTATCAACCCGCATACTTGTCAACCCTTGCAGATCGAGGCAGTGGAACTTCCTTGGATTATTGGACGAACAAGTAACTTACCCACTCGTACCCTCACCTTGATATACCACACTGCTCATGCTCAACATCACGCATTTCAGCGTTCAAATACAAGTCCTAATTTAGATCATACTGCAATCTGTTTTTCTTCATTTCTTCAGTGCCCTCAGGGCTTTGTGATTAGGCGGATGTTCTTTTTTCATTCACTCTGTCTTACTACTCACTTGTTATTGATTTGGACTGGAAACATTTTATGTACCAGCTCGATTAATTGAGCGCAATGCTTCGACTACTATGTATTTACAATCATGATTTCCTCACTCTTTGTAAAGTATGAAAACGATCGAATTTCGTTATAAGTACAATTCGCTTTGATACAGGAGATATGCAAAATGCAATTATGAGAGAGCTTGATGTGGACGTTATGCACATGAGCCGAACCAACAAACGAGATGTGCCGCAATCCAAACATTGGAAAAACGAGCAAAAGTAAACAAAAGTAAGTAAAACGAAAGAAAAGTGTACAATGTTCACAATTTCATTATGAGGGACCAAATTGCCGATAGTCCAATGGCAACGGAAACTTGGGCGCGGGGTAATCGTCCCACTGGCGTTCTCCATCGAGGAAGCGACGCAACCGTGCGACTTGTGATGAAAGGTACATTAAGATGATCTGCATCTCGATGTCGAGTTTGAGTTTGAGGATTTCTTCGCAGGTACGCAGAGCCTGCGTGCGTGTTGTGACGAACATGTTGCCTCGGAACCCTAGCTCTTTCAGGCTGTCGATCAGTTCTCCAAATTCAGAACACCATGCTAGTACGCCTAGCTGTTCTTGTGCGTGAAGTACTGGGTTGGGATTTGGAGAAGAGGGAAACTTACTTGGCCGTATTGCTTGTAACGACCGTAGAGAACGTTAGGTGCTGCCCCCAGTGCAAAGCCAAATGCTTCGTTTTGCATGATGACGCTTTGTTCTGGGATGTATGGTTCGACCACAGGCTGAGGCTGCACGAGGCGTTAGCGTCTGACTTGGTTGGTAGTGGTGGTGGTAGGAACCCACCTCAGGCCTTGGAGGTGGCTCCTGGAACCACTGGTGTCCAGAGTAGTCCACTTCTCCACCAAAATCTACGTGCTCAGCGTTCTTCGCTGTAAAGTCCATTATTTGACGATTAGGAGGAGGGCTGGTTTCAAGACGTAAAGTTTCGAGTAGTGTGGTGAGATCCTTTGGTAAAGGTATCGAATCAAGTGGGGCAGAACCTTGTGTTTGAGGGGTGAAGATAGCGCGTAAATTGGAAGAGTGTTCGCTTTATCAGAACGAAGGTCAGCCAAAGCGTTTCAGGTGGCTTACGATGTGGACTTACGATGGAAGTGGGGAAAGTGAAGTGGGGACGCTGAGATTGAGAGTGTTAGATGAGGGTGAGAAATGTTTTCGGGAAGACGACGAAGGAGATAACTCCTGTGAATCCGGGTGATCAGGATGCCTGAGAGGAAATAAGAAATATCTCTTGCCTTAAAAAGAGGATTCAGAGACTGTCTATTCTCCTTGGATGATAAACGTCTAGAACCAGAACTATTGAGACGAGTCTTCCGAGCAGCGATTGATTGGCGATGACGCTCTGCACTGATACGGCTGACCGTTGATAATCGATGGTAGAATATCGGAGAAGGTGAGGGTTGCGCCGATACGAAAGCAGAACTTGATACTATGCTCGAAGTACAGGAATCACCGGAAGAGGATTCTGCAATGGAATGCGGAGTTGCAAGTGAATCCCGATCTACTTCAGGTGTCTCCAAATAAATATCGGTGACTACTCGCTGGAGAACGGGCTTGCAAGGTGATTCAGGAGCGTAAAGAGGTTGTGGTGGGGGAACTGGAAGGAGAGATATCGGAACGGGTAAGGGTCTAGGGGAGTCGGGAGCAAAAAGTGCAGAAGTGAAATATGTGCTGATCTCCGGAATTTTTAAGTGCTCCGAATCTGTCAGGAGAGATATCCTTGAAGGTGGAAAGATCGCGCGATAGTCAAATGGATCACGGTTCTGTACGTTTCGACTGAGCCAAGAAGGGGATGGTGGAATAAATGATGTGCGGGATGACGGGCTGAGAAGTGAGCTGGTGGTGAATGGTGATGGTGATGCAGTAAACTCCGATGGGTCAACACACGCGTGTTTGGTAACGGAAGGAAACGGTTTCGCGACCTGCTCTGGATGTAAGGCGTCACTGGCAGGTGGTGGGATCGGAAGGGGTGCTGGTGATGATGATTCACCTGTTATAGCTGCCTTGCGAGCTAAAACGACAAGTGCGGCCTCAGAAGGGTTTGAAGAGTTCTCAACTGCAGGCTCGATGACAGGATTCGAGGGGCAAGAATGGAGGGGTTCGGTGAATGCAGATTGAACAGAGAGGGATAGCGAGGTTGCTTTGCTTGATACTCTCCTCCTGCTTCTAATGGTATTACCGGACGAAACGTCTGAAATGCGAGAGTCGAATGGACTGTGTAGTACCCTTGATAAAGACCTGAAGCGCTTCAATGAGCCAGTATATCTACGACTACTTCTGACGTCAAAGTCAAGCGTAGTTGGAGAGGTAAATGGCGCAGATATTTGAGTGGGAGTGCTAGAAAGTTCTGGATTTGCGTCGAAGTCGAAAGGTGAATCAACGAGAGGAGGACTGCGAAGAGTGAACTCGTTTGTAAATGGAGGGGAGACACGGAGGGTAGAACAAGTCTCGTCGAGTTCTTGATTGGCAGTGATGAGTGTCGAGCTCGCAAGTGAGGATGTTGCGTAGGCCGAAGCGATCGGAGTGGGTATGTGAGTTGGGGGTCTTGGGAATGCAAGATATATGTCGGATACTTCCGCTGCCCGATTGGACTGGACTGTTTGCCGACCGGAATTGAAACCCGACAAGTGAATGGACCCCTTGGATAAGTTCTTGAGGCGATATAAAGCGGATTTTGTACGAGAAGGTGCCGGTCGTTTAGGAGGGGTGGATGGATCAGAGGAGGGCTTATTGCACGTTTCGCCGGTTGACGGTTCTGGATCAGGACGAGCTAGAGACTCGTCGTCGAGACTGACTGGAAGATCTTCTCGATTTACAAGTTCAAACTCCTCAAGTTCTTCACCTTGTCGTTGTTGCTCCTGCTCTAAGGTAGTCTCTGTGTGCTTTTTTGAAAAGAGACCTTGGTTACCTCGCCCTTTGAAAGTGAGGGAGAGCAAACGAGTTGGATCAAGAGTATGAGCCGAGCTGCGCAAAGAGCCTCGAAGGCCGCGAGGTAGTCTCGACTGGAAGTAAGTTGATGGCGACGTTGTATCTGCTCCAAGTCCTTGTGACTTGTGAGGAGAAGAGAATTAGAGCTGGGAGGAGTGACCTTTGAGGAAAATCAGGCGCTGTGTCAGCGTGATTGTAACGTGGAATCCTGACGACGTAGGAGAAGCTACATCTGGTTCAATTACTTACCAGTCCTTATCCTCGTGTTTTCTGTTAAACCTGTTAGTTTTCCGCTGACTTGCCTCGAGGCGCGATCGGCACACCGTTACATAAGCTTTGACTGTAATCGCATTGTCTACTAGATTAAGTACGTTCAGTCACTGCCAGCAACTAACTAGCTATGGACTCATCAGAAATGCAGTACTGCCTCTTGACAAGCTACTCATCATTTCCATTTCTACAGAGCACTCATTTCGACTCAAAATAGGTTTGATACACTCACATACAGATTAATCAAAGCATTGCCCACGATGACACCTTTTCTTTCTTGATCAGGAAAAACACGCCCCCCAAAGTCGTTCTCTTCCTAGACAACCTTTGGACTTGAGCTGCGCACGATGATAGAAGCATTACAACCGCTTACCTTGCATGTATTGTTATCACTGGGTATCAGCACCATGATGGTTTTTCATACTGATAACGCACTCACGCTGATAACGTTTTCTCGCAGTATCACAAGGCAAACGGTCGGGTTTCATGCAGCCATACCGCAGTAGATCGTGGTATAAATTACTTAGTACGTGATATCATGAATGACATCCGTATTAAGCAAGAAACGATGATTCAATAATCCAATGCATTGGATGATACTGGACTCGAAGCGGTACTAAGTCCGCCATGACACAAAAAGTACCCGTCTTCTTATATGTTCTGATCAGATACGCAGTACCTTGCCGGTTTCAATTGTCAAAACTGCTTCCATCAATCTAGCTCTACCACCGTGACACTCGGGCTTGTCGATCGGAGCAAAGCAGTGTTTTCAACTTCTGATATCATATATTCTTCATAGAGATCTCCATCTAAACCCCAAGTCGACTGCTTCAATGTCCGAGCAACTCCAACATGGCATATATTCATCGGAGATGAGCTCATATTTCAGCTTGAGCGGACATTATTTTCACGTAGGCCTTCTTCACCAGCCCCTCTACTCCTCCCAAGCATCTACAACAATAGCACTGCGTACTACGAAACTGCGGACAGTTTCATGTCGTCAGGACCTCGCGTGACGATTGCAGCGGCTTCGTGATCGTGCGCTATACTCGCTCGTGGTAAGCTCAGGGTTTTCTACAAATCGCAATATTCGAACCCAGCATCGCCCCTACACATGCTTGGGCGCAATGAGACGTCCGGATCATATCTGCTTATAGGAACGATATCAGAAACCCTTCTTACAAAAGAAGCGCGCGACTTTCTCGTATTGGATGGCCCCTGTAGATGCTTTGTAGACACGTCTTTACAGCAGCTGCGCAACGTGCGGCTCTAAGGCGAGCCTGAGGTCCAGCCGGAGAATGAAGCAAGGCCCCAAACATCCAATTCAAATTGAATGTACGCAGGCCAGCAGGGACCTTGGTGATGTGCGCTACGATGATCGGATGCTAGCGAGAGAGGTATGTGAGAAGTCATCAGGACGAGAACGGGGGAAAATAGTATCATGATCGTCCCTGCTGTGGGCATCTCCTGATTCAGCTACCAAATATCAATCATTTTCATTGTTTGATCTGAGGAAAACAACCAGCTGAAATAAAGAATTGTGTTTGTGCTAAGCAGAGTAACTTGGACTAGGAATCGGTAGCTATAAGTACACAGGGCAACCAGAACAAAAAAACAAACAAAAAACGAGTTCTCATTCACAGTACTGCAGGGGAGATTAGCGCAGTAGGCTCTGCCTCTCTCCCGGCACTTCAACATCAATCAGGTTCTCTTGATCCCTCCGTCTACCAGGGAAGAGACGCCGTAAGAGCGGCACTGCTTGCAGGACCGAACGGCTGCCGGAGAGTGCCGGCAGATGCCAAGCAACTGAGCCTCCGCCCATGATCGCCACCAACAAAACGAGCACACCAAAGTCTCCAACCACGGCATAGACAGTCCTTCTTTGGTCGAAGGGGAACTGCAAGCTGATTGTGCGAGTCCACGATCCGGAGCCAAGTTGCATAATCTCCGAAATGCCCCCACCTCCAACGCCACTGACTCCCATGGCCCCTCCATCACACCATAGCACCATGCTCCCGATTTCGTTTGCACGCGACTTTGCCTGCTCCCACATCGCGAGACTGACGGTGGAGTCCCACGTGCGAGCCGGTGCCAGGATCAAAGCCGGCCTGGAGCTAAGCGAACTGAATGCAGAGGAGAACGCGAAATCAAGACATATGGATGATGTGATAGGAACCGGGCGGGTATAGTTAGGCGGCGAGGACCATTCGGGTTTCGTGACCCATTTTGGAGGGCCGAGCTCGAAGTCGTATATTGCAGGAGGCTCAGTAGATGGAATTGCTGAAAATGATTCTGTAACTATCTGGCTATCAGACACTCTGCAAGGTCAGGTTTACATAGAAGGACGTACATGGTACCAGGTTACGTTTGTAATACTGGATAACTTCCTCGCCCTTCTTCTGTTCTTCATGGACAAGGGCAAGTCCGTTGCGTCGCATGCGAGATCCACCGGGGTTTGACGGATCTTGGGGGACGGACTCCTCGAAAGCGACTCCGATAACAGATTTCTGTATATTCTTGCGCAATTCTTCGAATGCGACTTCCCTCTCCCCCTGATTATTGAATACTACGGCGCTTTCGGGCCACAGAACTACTTTGGCCTGCGAAGTTAATTTTTTGGTCTCGGTGATGAAGTCGCCGAGAGTTGGATGTTGACCTTTGTGAATGGGTGGGAGGGCACAGGCAACACCCAGTGGCGAAGTATCAAAGATCGTATCAGTTCTAGCGGGTGTGATGACATGTAGAGACGGGAGGGCAAGTGCAACAAGGAATGTTCCTAAAGCGAGAAGGCTCCGCGAGCGCTTATTGGATTGCGGGGCTTCAGTGGACGAAGTAAACAGTTGAACCAGCTGCTCATCGTTGCTGGTACCCATTAACCAAGCAGCAGCAACTTCCGAAAACAGAGCCGCACAGGCACCGACGGCCCAGTCGATCCCCATCGGCCCTGTATACGGTAGTAGCCATCCAAAAGGGTGGGAGGTAGAAACTGGACTCCAATTTAGGAGTCTCCCCACGGGGGAGATGTGGGATACAATGGCCCACGTCGTCGCCCATACAACAGGTAAAAAAGTCACTTGAGCCCAGAAAGTTGGGAGCCTTCGATGCAGGCGGATATCTGCATAAAACGGCAGGATTGCCAATACGTATGTAATTGTAGACATGACTGCGACCGCAGCAAATGACTGTGTCGAATTCGACACTGCATTGGTTGCGGAAGAGTAATGCGCCAAGGAAGCCCCGACCGTCACACCTACCCAAGAGCACATTAGCTCTAATACCCGGGTACTTCGGCATGCGATGCGCAACCCATGAATGCGCAGAACGGTGAGGAGTAGTACCAATGGTACAAATGTGGGCGTGGGGCCCAGTGACAGGAATGCTAGCAGAAACTCGCTAGCCCCAAAGATCAAGGTGGGGTTTTTCGCGAGGATGATGGATCGTAGGGTGTCCGATCCCATGATATACTATGAGCGATAATAATGGTTGTTGAGTGAGTCCTTCGACGACCACGTAATTACTGCGGCCAAGTTTTATGCGATGAGAATAAGAAGCTTGACTTGGAATGGTATGTGCTAAGGCTCGGACTCTGAAATCAAATCTTCATGCTGGACGACATCAACACCTGTTCGACGTTACGGAGGAATGACCGACACACTGTGTGTTCCTGATCAGTGCGTATGCCAGCGTTCGGCATTCTAATGAGCCCCAAGACTTATCAACATTTAATTCAATTCACAGTACTAGTATGACCCAATGGTCATGCTAACGGAACTTTGAATAAATTTATTAAAAGCCAAACACAATTGACTGTCACCCTAGCTGTAGAACTTTTTGGCGTCGAAGGCGTCGACATCATCCGTTACTTGGATGTCAGACTCGCACACACTTCCTTTTGGGAGATTTGAACAATACAGCGAACATTCACTCGACCAGTGTCCTGCGTAACTCGCCACCGCCTCCCTCAGCGAAACGCATCCTACTAATAGTACACCTGAAGACCGTCATAGGGTGTCATCCGTGATGTCTCTACGAAACACACTTTTTCGTCGACTGTCACTGGCTCCCCAAGTTCTGTCTCCATCCTTTATTAATGTGTCTTTCCCTGTCGTTCTATTAAATTTTACCTGCACTTGTCAACACCGAGTTTCGCAACGCATTGCAACCAACTGATATATCGCGTATGCACAAGCGTTAATGACAAGCAAGATTTATGCAGACGCAGTCGACGTCAGAGCATCCCTATAGGCCATTGACAAACACGTATAATGAGTGGTGTATCCCATTGCGTGGAACCATATGTCGCTCAAAATTTAAGCTGACATTCCACCATTACAACGTCTCCGGTTGCCAGCTTCGTCTTGTATTCCTCCAGGCGGATGACGACTCCGTGACTGTCTCAGGACGCTGGGGCCTCCGCCTTCGTCTGTTGCAGGTTGCACTGGATTACCAGTCCCGCGTACCGCCCTGAGGGGTCTGGGTTTCGAGGAAACAAGCATGCAGTTGTGGATTTCACAGAAGCAAACATCCCATACATCACCAACATCATCAAAAGGTGACTTATCTGCGATCCAAGTGAAACACAGCTGACCATACGTTAGAGGTGATGGTCGCGACGAATTCTGGACTTATTGCTTGCTTTATAGGGCAGGATAAGTTGAATGATCAAGACTGATGGTTTACCGAGCGTCAAATCTGTGCTTAATCTCTCTTCTTTTCTTTGAAAGTCTACATCTATCAAGCACGAGATACCGCCAATTGCATCCACGTCATGCTGTGTTGCTGCGCCGTGATATATGTATCAATTTTGAATGGAAAGCCAAAGACCACTTTGCCTCACCACGCAACCTCGTTCGTACTTGCTGTGCAGAGGTCCCGGGGGCCTTGTAACATGTCTGTTCGGAATAGCAGAATCATTTGAGACTCAGGATGCAGTCACCAGACATATGGGGCACCTGCAAGGGCTTTGTACAGTTCCCAGGTAATAGAGGAAATATCCAGAGCAAGGTCATAAGTTCGAGCAAACACCTACCCAGTAGATGGCGACTAGTCAGCCAGTTATATATCGTTTATCAGCGCTGCAGCAGTGACTGGGGTCACTGGTAGCGGTTCTCTGATTCTGACAGCGCAACGATTTGTTCGCTCACTCTCGATTCAATTCTATATCTACAACTCCAGAACTATGAATAACCATGCCGATGCTAACGAAGGAGTCGGAAACCAAAATCACCAGGCGTGTCGAGAATCTTCCAACATCTACTCACCTATATTAATATTCTACAGATCCCTCAACACCTTCTCCAACAAGCACCAAGGCCTCGGGATGTGACATTCACAATGGCCAGAGGGCAGCTGGTGAGTAACGCGCACTCGTTTGCGAGTCATAACCCTGACGTTGTCGAAGGAGTTGATGTACATTACCTGGGCCGCCGCGCGAATGCGCATACGCCAACAACTTTATGAACCCAACTTACCATTTCCTCCCTATCCGCTGCCTCCAGTCTGGCAAGACGAGGTGCGCGCGATGATGGTGTTATGGATTGCAAGGGAACGCCGGATGTTTGAAATGGAAATGCAGGAACTCGAGCGTCTCTTGGGACTCAGAGGTGCGCGCGAGGGCTTCTAGATAAGCCATTTAGAAATTGCCAAATTCTGAATGGACTTATCAGTATTATCAGACCGTACGGATGAAGAGGGACGAAGACACTGAGAGACAGAGCCGAGAATGAGACTAAGCAGCTGCATGCACTGTATACATACAATGTACTTGCACCGAATATCCCACACGCAAATTCTGTTCCACAGCGTAGCGTTGATAGCTTCGAGCTGATTTTGCCTGAAGGATGTCAGCCGAAACACGGCCTTCGAGATCGAAGCTCCCTCGGCATAAAAAGGGGTCGACATGTTCTTACGATGGCCAGTAAGTGCAGAGGGAGTGCATGGTGCATCTGCAGGGTCGAGCGTCGGAGTGGTCGAGGTACCCAGTCGCAATGTCGAGGGGTCATCAAGGTCCTCTCGAAGGTCATCGTTGTCAAGCCAAACAAAAGTCTCTGCCGACACGTCAGCATCAATCAGGTCGTCGACATCGACATCTTCCGGTTCGAGAACACCCCCAAAATCAGTAGGCACAGATGACACAAGAGTATATGGATGGCATTGAAGTCGGCTCGCTGATTGGGGTGAAACAAGCCAGGAGTTCGCAGGTGTCCAACCGCCATATGTCGCCAGGTATTATGATCTCCTCCGATCTTGATGGCGGAATGAGGAAAACCTCTTTCGCCCTCGATGTCTCTACTAACCAACCATCCAAGTCAGCCTAACGGTTTCATGTGGAACTTGGAAGACCGAGGGCAGAGCTCGGCAAGTTCTTCCTCTTTGCTTTCCTCGACTTCGAGCCAGTGAGCGTCTTCAGAGCTTCTTTCTAGTTGGTCGACCTTGGTGCCGAGCGACTCTGCGCGAAGCATGAGACAAACAAATCACGGTAAGCTTGACCTGCAAGTCGTTTACTAAAGCCTACCGCACGATCTGAAGACATCGAACAGAAGGCCATTCCGCTACTCCTCGAGATTGGCGAGGACTCCAGTCTTAAGAACGTTCCCACACGGGTTCTTCCGTGTCATTCCGAGTTCTTCCGTGTGGGAACGTTCTTAAGACTGGAGCGGAACGTTCTTAAGACTGAGGCCCTCGCCGATCTCGAGGAGTAGCGGAATGGCCTTCTGTTCGATGTCTTCAGATCGTGCGGTAGGCTTTAGTAAACGACTTGCAGGTCAAGCTTACCGTGATTTGTTTGTCTCATGCTCTGCGTAGAGTCGCTCGGCACCGAGGTCGACCAACTAGAAAGCTCTAGTTACCTCGTACATCTGCTCCTGAGTATGATCCAGGCAGGACAAAGAGGACCAAGATTCGCACCGGCTTTCTACCATCACCGCATCCGCCGACGAGCTCTCTCGCCCTCAAATCAGAACCACAGGCATTGCGATTTCGTTAGACTGACTTGAATGGTTGGTTGGTGGAGACATCGAGGGCGAAAGAGGTTTTCCTCATTCCGCCATCAAGAAGGAGATCATAATACCTGGCGACATATGGCGGTTGGACACCTGCGAACTCCTGGCTTGTTTCACCCCAATCAGCGAGCCGACTTCAATGCCATCCATATACTCTTGTGTCATCTGTGCCTACTGATTTTGGGGGTGTTCTCGAACCGGAAGATGTCGATGTCGACGACCTGATTGATGCTGACGTGTCGGCAGAGACTTTTGTTTGGCTTGACAACGATGACCTTCGAGAGGACCTTGATGACCCCTCGACATTGCGACTGGGTACCTCGACCACTCCGACGCTCGACCCTGCAGATGCACCATGCACTCCCTCTGCACTTACTGGCCATCGTAAGAACATGTCGACCCCTTTTTATGCCGAGGGAGCTTCGATCTCGAAGGCCGTGTTTCGGCTGACATCCTTCAGGCAAAATCAGCTCGAAGCTATCAACGCTACGCTGTGGAACAGAATTTGCGTGTGGGATATTCGGTGCAAGTACATTGTATGTATACAGTGCATGCAGCTGCTTAGTCTCATTCTCGGCTCTGTCTCTCAGTGTCTTCGTCCCTCTTCATCCGTACGGTCTGATAATACTGATAAGTCCATTCAGAATTTGGCAATTTCTAAATGGCTTACCTAGAAGCCCTCGCGCGCACCTCTGAGTCCCAAGAGACGCTCGAGTTCCTGCATTTCCATTTCAAACATCCGGCGTTCCCTTGCAATCCATAACACCATCATCGCGTGCACCTCGTCTTGCCAGACTGGAGGCAGCGGATAGGGAGGAAGTGGTAAGTTGGGTTCATAAAGTTGTTGGCGTACGCGCATTCGCGCGGCGGCCCAGGTAATGTACATCAACTCCTTCGACAACGTCAGGGTTATGACTCGCAAATGTGTGTGCGTTACTCACCAGCTGCCCTCTGGTCATTGTGAATGTCACATCCCGAGGCCTTGGTGCTTGTTGGAGAAGGTGTTGAGGGATCTGTAGAATATTAATGTAGGTGAGTAGATGTTAGAAGATTCTTGACACACCTGGTGATTTTGGTTTACGTTTTCATTTTGGTTTCCCACTCCTTCGTTAGCATCGGCATGGTTATTCATAGTTCTGGAGTTGTAGATATAAAATTGAATCGAGAGTGAGCGAACAAATCGTTGCGCTATCAGAATCAGAGAACCGCTACAAGTGACCCCTGTCACTGCTGATAAACGATATATAACTGGCTGACTAGCCATCTGCACACTGGGTAGGTGTTTGCTCGAACTTATGACCTTGCTCTGGATATTTCCTCTATTACCTGGGAATTGTACAAAGCCCTTGCAGGTGCCCCATATGTCTGGTGACTGCATCTTGAGTCTCAAATAATTCTGCTATTCCGAACAGACATGTCACCAGGCCCCCGGGGCCCCTGTACAGCAAGTACGAACGAGCCTGTTGCTTGGTGAGGCAAATGGTCTTTGGCTTTCCATTCAAAATCTGGCTGACTAGCCGCATCTGCATACCATGTCGCATAATTATGCAAAGAGCTGTAACACACTCGACCGTTTCGAACACCGACGTCCATAGCACAACCTCTCAAGAATGAGAAGAATATAAACCTCGACTGCTCTTGTATGAGCAACAGTACAGGACCGGATACTACGTCAATATTGGGAGTGGAGGTACGGTTCTAGGGTCTTCGGCGTGGAGAACAACAGACTACGTCTCCTATTGTTGCAGCAGTAGTCTGTACACGAGCAGCAACAACTAATGAAGCAGTGAACTATATAATGAGTCAGTCTACAGGTAGATGATATATCACTGCATGGAGTTATACCTGGTACGATCAGAGTGAGGGTCATGGAGCTGCTCCCTCAACAGATTCATCATTATCCAGGTTTACGGCGAATGGATCAACTGTGTGATCCATGAGAGGCCCGCCCAATAATGCGTCGCCGTTTTCCATTTGACTGAGATCATGGACGCTTTCAAACGCAGTTCCATCAGGTCCGAGCACCGTCATATCCAGGTCTCCGACGTCTTCAGGATTGACGTTCTCGTGTGGACCGATTTCGATATCCACGTTGCCATCGAGAGCTTTGAGCGATTCGTCCAACATGTCTGCAACTTCCTCTGCGACCAATATAGGTTCAGCAGCTTGGAGCGAAAGTGTAGGAGGTGTCGGCGAGGATGGTTTGGTTTGAGGTTCTGACGGAATTTCCTGATTAACTGAGTTTGTCTCCGTGTCCACCACAGGCGCTAACGCATCGCGAGCTACAGAGGCAACTGGCTCGTCTTGGTCCATCTCTTCGTCTCCTTCTACTATTTCAGGTTCGTCAGGAAGGGGCGCCAGTGGTTCGTCCACTTCTCCTTCATCGTCACTAAATTGCTTCAAGATTGACTAGGATTTCGAAGTCACTCTATCAATTGCTCAGACTACTTACTTGTTTTTTGTCCGTCTTCACCCACTTGTAGATCTTCACAGAAGAATTTGGAGCAGCATTTTCTGGAACGGTCCATACTTTCTCCCAGCAAACGACTGGCTGCATGAGTTGGCGTCTTGCAGCCTCCGTCGTTGCGATGCTGACGCCGATTCTTCGCCTAGTGGACATGATACAGATGTGAAGAAAAGACTATTGATTGTGTTCATAGATTCTTTTGAATAAGCTGTGAACGCAAGTGGACGAGCTTTCGCCACCCATTTGGGGGTCGTCGCTCAGACGCCTCCCTCATGATCAGACCCACTACACGATATTGCAAGGAATTTCGCCAACATCGTTCACAGGAAATATTAATATCAATCATGATTTCGTTTGCCATGTTGTTTCAGAAAACCTGTGTCATTGGGTAAACATCTAGAAGAAGCTTTGGCAATATTCTTGACACTTGTATACCAGTGCAACTTCATACAGACGAATTGAAGGGTAGAGTTAGTCTCCGTATACAGAGATAGTGTGATCGTTACCTTGATTCTGGCAGACGCTACGCCATTGTGAAATTCTCTGCCTTGCCACATACATCAATGGGTAGATTCAATTCTCGACATATCAGCGAGGTACACCTCGAGGCCAATCTATGGTCCGGTTCTGGCTGACACCTGGACCGTGGACCGAACCACAGGGGAACCGGACCAAAGTCCGGTTCGAACCATAGTCCAGGGCAGGACCACGGCAGCACTAAGAGTCTCCGCCGAGATGATACGAAACCAGGCACGCACGCATCGGTATGTGTCATCTCGCAAAATAAATGATATTGTGACAGAAAGGAGCTGATGCTGGTGAGCGAGGCAATAAAGTTTTACTTGCGCCAGACGCCTTGTAAACTTATCTCCTAAACTTCACAGATAAGTTCAAGGCACCAGAAGAGATAACGCCTTTTCCCCACTCCACAATCCAGGATGAAATCGACGTGGTGCGGCATTAGAGTCGCCACTGAAGGAAGCATAATATTTGGAAAGGGTCGATGTTGTAATACAATGTAGACCAGTCTTGGGTCGTGGCTGTTCCAAGTGCTGTACTAAAAATGGTCGACCGTTTGTACCCCTTGCGATGACACAGTGTATTGGGAGCATTCAACTGGTAGGTGTTCAGCATAATATACGCATACGTCAAATATAAGTTATGAATAACCAGACAGACTTTGCAAAAAATGAGCTGCAACATAGCAAATAGAACTGCCACCGCGGACTTGAAAGGTTCGAATGAAGTGGATGAAGTCTTCCGCTGCCCTGGTATGACGAGGGCTCACTACATGGTCTAGGGGATGTAGCGCAGAAGTGGAATTGTATACGACCTGTATCACAACTTGTAATGGTGAACAAGGGACAAAGTAATGGACGATATGACCACCGCCCGACACATTCGCTTCTCTAGCGTACGTCAGCAAGTTTACAAATCCTGTGTGCGATTCAGTGAGCCATACACACAGCAGATTATTGAACACGACATCCAACATGAGCAGGTGTCACGACCACTCCAGAAGAGAACCTGAGAATCTTATGGGACCTCTTCTGCCCAACGCAACATGTCTTCAAGGGACACGTTAGCCGTGGATGTCTGTACCTACATGAAGTCAGTTTTGCGTCGACGTGCACGAGATAAAGTTACCTGAGAACTGCTAGGTTTCGCAGCCTGCCTCTGGTCTGAACCCGCCATTTCCTGAGCTGAAGAACGTAGCTCCAACAGCCGAGCTTCGAGAATATCACATTGCCTAGCTTATCGTGTTCAATAACATTTATATCATAGTATGGGGCACGCACGAGTGAATGTTCTTTGTTTCCTCACGCCTCAGCTCCAGCTGTCGTTGCATCATGAGTTCAAGATTTCCTCTAGCCTATCCAAACATCAGCCAACCGTACGAGTCAGAGTGTAAGAATAAAGACCTGGACGGGCCGTAGATCATTTGCAGCTGCCATCAGATTCTGGGCAAGTATCGTTATCCACTCCAGCTGGCGTTGCCATTCTGGTTGTGCCAAGGATGAAGGTGGTGGTGGTGGTGCAAGAATTGCGTTTGTCAAATTGGAGTATGTGACCAGGATGGACCTCAGGACAGCAAGAAGCGCAGGCCGCCGATCTCAGGGAAGAACTTCAGGACAACGGACATATCGAGGAGACTCTAGGACTGTCTCACCTACACTTGGGTCAGGAGGGTAAAGCTGATGTCCACCAAGTTCGGCTAGAGATGGGATGGTCTCTTTCACCTGGTTGGGAAAAAATCAAACGCTATGTCTGAACGCAAAGCAGCATGCATACAAACCACGTATCGCCGAAGACGCTATAATGGCCTTCCTCAAGGACCCAGTCTACTCGTGGTTTCTCGAGCTGGGCCAGCGACCATGTGGGTACATCGGTTTGATCTGAGAGTAGTTCGTGCTGGTTCACTATCCCGAGATCAGCATTTTGATCCCCGACTCGTTCCTTGAGCAGAGTAAGTAACTTCAGGTTATGCGATGTATAATTGTTGTAGTGGGATGGAGGTGAGGGAAAGGGACTACGAAGTTCAGCCTCCTCTTCGTCCATTTGCGGTGTAGAGTTTGCAGAGAGTCAGTAACGCCAAATGATCAATGTATCAATGTTGACGAAAGCTGCCGTTCTGTGACAGTTGTTTGGCAAAGGCTTGTGATCCAAACAAACTTGACGCGGACGGTCATTTCTTTAATTTGTTCTTGTTGTACTGTCGCTGCCGTCGTCAAAATGGTGCGCCGAATTGCTTCACAGGTGCACAAGCAGGCCGCGCGGCTCATGCGCGCGAATTACATCAAAAATGAGCCTGTGTGGTTTCAAGCGGTTCTCGAACATCCTCCCCTTCCTCTCCCTCCAAGAGCTCCCCCAGTCCGCGAAGACTGTCGGTTACAATCCAGTAGGAAAATGCGAAAACCAAAGACCGAACCGTTACCTATATTCTACTTGGAGGACAAAGTTCGTCGGCAATTTTTTCGCGACCATCCTTTTGAGGCATTCAGGCCTGTCAGCATTGTAGAAGGTCGCGAAGTAGAGGATGAGCATCCAGTACGAGGAACTAGTTGGACACGGCTGGCTCAAAGAGGACTCAATCCTTCTCCGGAGGAGTAAGTACACCCTCTTTCATTCAACCATCGAATAACATGGCAACTCCCGTTTTGTCAGCGCTGTCCACTTTGCTGTTAACCTGCACAACCACCACAAAATGGCTCTTAGCATTGCATACACGCGCGCTGTTGCAGAGTTCAGATCACTACGAGCTGGGCACGAATTTGCCAACACCTTTGCTCGAATGGAGGCTGAAGCTTATGGCACTGTCTTCCCATCCGAAATTGACCGGACGTTCGAGAAGGAAAATGCAGTCTACCAATCGGCAGACCGCAAGGTTGAGCTTGACAGGGGTGCTCTTCTCGCTCGCAAGAGGTGGAAGGCCATCTTGGATGTGAACAATGGGATGGGAGACTTCGACAGAGGACAACAATATACCAGGAATTGGAAGCAAGGTGTCCGTCCTACCTACCTTCCAGTAGATGAACTGGCAGTTGCTTCAGAAGCTGGGAAGCCTGTGCAGTCCATAGAGCAGGATCATGCCGCCGCGAGCCTAGCGTTTGCTAAAATACTGGCTTCACCATAGACGTCATTACCTTGCAATTCTCGGCCACCGACTTGTTAATGTTTTAAAGTATTATATCAAGAGCATAAGCCGCCAGTAATAATACATAACTATGCCTTGATGCGAGATTGAGCGGCCTGTGCCGCGTTCATCCCTATCCAAGTCTTCTCTACAAGTCCAAGTAACTTTTGCATGTCCGAACTCCAATCATTCATCACGTCCTCTGCGCTGCGCTTATTCCTGAAGTTGACGATACCTGCTGGTCGGTCTACGCGTGCCCAGATGGTATGTGAAACAACTAGCCGAGCAAGCGTTTCTTCCGTTTGTTGTGGTGTAAGGTCGAGAAGAACCGTGAGACGGGAGAGGGTGATTCGAGTGTAATACTGTGCGACCACGCGTACGTTCTGGATAAAATCATGAATCAGTAATGCACTCACTTAGACATATGAATTAAACTAACATGTTCGACGACACGGGTATGGAGGTCCTCCCATTGCTTGGAAACCGAGAACACCGGCGTTGTTCGTAAGAAAGGTCCATACAAGGATTCAATTCCGGGCCACCTCATCAACTCACGGGTCACGAATGACTTGACAAGGTTACTATCCAAAAGTCAGTATTGACGTTAACAAAGGACAATAGTCTCACTAATGGAGTTCAAGCTTCTCGAGTGCGGGGTTAGCGAATAGATGGTGCAGCATGTCTGATTGTTCGTTGTCATGAGGCGCAAGTACCACGTAATAAACGATGTGTTCGAGGGCCTGAAGACCGTAACCTGTCAGTCATTATAGGCCTGATGGGAATAAGAAGTACGCACGGCACGGCTTTTGCTCTCGTCCTCCTTTATCGACGGCGTATCCCAAACCTTCTCATAATGCTTCGCTACTTCCAGATAAGCACTTTGACGAAGAGCTTGTTGGATCATTAGATCATAATATTTGAGTTTGAGATCCTAGATCCAGTCAGTCATGAGCGTCTCGCCCGTCAGGTCCATGAACGGACAAACCTCATTTGCTTTCTCCTTGAGGAACGATTCGTTGACTTTGCGGCCCCCAACTTTGGCCTTGACCCATTCTGGCTCACCACTTCCAAGTGCGTTCTTCCCCTGTTTCGCGGGAGCTTCCGCATCTTTCAATCGAGCGACAGCAATCAATAGCCTCATCTGCTCTAGAATAAACTCCGTTTTCTCTCTCCGCTCCATTGACGAGTAAGTTTCCACTTGCAGGTCGCTAAGGAGATCCGAAGCTGTTTGTAGTGTTTCTTTGATTGTAGCTGCCAGGGCGTTTGGAGCCTTGGAAAGAGTTTCATGGTAATGGGAGAGAGCGAGAGTCACGCGCGCACGGGGCGTCTCGAGAAAAATCTGCGAGATATATCATGAGCATTGTTGATAGTCCATGACATGATGAACTAGCCTTTCCCTCAGTCACAGATCGCAGGGTTTCAACTAACTCTAACCACTTCTCAACACCTTGTTCTTGTCGGATCCCAGGCAGCCACGATATTGCCTGTTCGACTATGGCCTGAACAACGACTTTGAGTTGGCCGTGCTTCTTGCTCAGTAAGCTGATGGTGCTGTTGAGTTGTGTGTAGTCTCGGGATTCGTAGCAGAGTTCAAGTGCTGCTTTAGCTAGCCGCGTCGTGGATGGCAGATCATTGGCCTATTCATAGCAAGTTCAGTATGAAGAAGTCGTCAAAGTAACAAGACGTGCATTTCGTGTTTGCTTCTCCAGCGCAAGCAATCTCTCCAAGGCATCTGACAGCTGAACAGACTCTGACTAAGTCAAGGTACCCCGTCAGTTCGAACAGTAAGACACATATACAACTCTGCACACACCTTGACGAGAGCGGAAGTCTCTTGAAGGAGCTCGTCAACTTCCTTTGTGAAGTCTTTCTCCTGTTTTCTAACCTCGGCCATTGCAATTGAGTAGTGAGACTTAGAATATGGCTTGTCATGTTTTGGCGTGCAGTGACGCGTCGCAAAAATGTTTGGCATTATTTGCTTTTCTGCACTGACTTTCCATTTCTGGGATGACCCCTGAACGGGAGCGATACTCGCCTCCCCGACCATTTCCTTAATGTCTTGTTGAGCACCCACAGCATTCGTGAATTTCATGCCATTCCAGTCTGCGTTAGAATAATATGCGTGATAGTAACCCTAATGATAAGCGCCAGCACCGTGTACCAAATGAGTAAAGCGTCCTGTCGCGATAAGGAATTCATAGACAAACAGGAGGAATATCATGATCCAGGAGCTCCGATGTCGATGATGAAACCGAATGTGCAGGAGAAGGCCTGAGTTCATGTTTTTCTGAAGACGAATCGTCCCCTTCTTTTGGTTGAGCATGGAGTATGGAGAGAGATTTGTCGAGCATATGCATAGGGATCGTGAGAGGGTAAGATGTGAGAATACGACATGCGAAGGTAAGCAGTCCAGCAAGGACTGCAGGGATGACGGAAGGGAAAGCATAGACGGGGTCGGCATATTTAGCTGAGCTGGATTCTTCAAAGGGTAGCGCTTGGATGGCGCTGATAGCTTTGGTTTCCGTGTGAACCGATGCATCGACTTCGGTGGAGACCATGTTAGGCCGAACGGAGACGGACTGATGTAAGATCGCCGGAGTAGCATCGACGCCTGTATCCATGATTGACGGTGTGGCATCAATGGACATTGAGACCAACTCTGGCTTAGCCTCAGTTGATCTATCAATCAGTTTGGGCGACACCTGGACATGGCGCTGAACCAAACGAGGCTTGGCCTGCAGGGACTTGTCTGCAGTGATGCGAGTCACAGTGGCGTCAATACTCTGTTCCCGGGTCTCAGGCTTCTGCGTGGAAAGATGCACAACCCTAGCCCTCTCCATCAAGCGCATGCCTTGCATGTGTGGCAGCCAGTCCGAAACCTTCTGCCAGCCTGATGCGTTTGCCTCGACATATCCGGGACGGTTCTTCTCATGGAACCACTTTATTGTCTCCAAATAGGGCGCAAGGTGACTGAGAAGAATGGTTGTCTGAAGAGGGTCGTTGACGACGGAGTGACCCACGTGTAGGCGGAGAAGTGACCGCGAGGATACATCGAGGGAGTTAAATGTCTCCTCGGACTCCGTGTGGGCATCTAGCACGAGTGCAAGCGTCTGTAGTCGCTTGCAGCCCTGAGTCAGAACCGCAACACCTTCTAACGTAAGGCTGGGCCCAGACGAGGCGGGGAAGCGTGCCATAGGGCAGAGCCGGAGGGTCTCGATGTTGGGACATGCCTGGGCCACAGCCTGCAAATCTGAATTATGGAAGAGGACTGATTCTGGCAGGTCTATTTCTAGACGGAGCAGAGATGGAAGCGAGGTGAAGTGCTGAAGGGGAAGGTGACGGGAAGGTGGGTCTCCGCCTCGAGATGTTGATCTCACAAGCTCATTGAAACGGGATGAGCCTGTTGCGTTAATACGCAACGAGAGGAGCGACTTGCTGAAGCGCTCGCAGATCAGACCAGAGAGGTCCTGCCAGTCGGCCATATCCGGGGGGTCCTCGATAACGAGCTCCAGGTGCGTAAGATTGCTCGTCAGATGCTTTAGGAACACCGCGATGTTTGCAACCTCTCCAGTCAACGATAGCTGACGGAGATCTGTAAATACGCCACCCGAGCGCAGGTCACCGGTCAAGCGCAAGGATGACTTGCGAATTTCCGTGAAGTCTATCTCATCCGCAGAGAAGACACCACTGTCTGACGACGCATCACTGGGAGTGGAAGCTCCCGAAGCGACAATGTCGTCAAAGAAGCCTTCAACTGCGATGACAGACCGGCCAGTAAGATCAAGTTCGAGGACACGCAACATAGGCAAAGATGCAGCCCATTGCCCGACGCTCGATGAAAGCGCGCCAGGTGCAACTAGAACCAACTTTTCCAATGTGTTGTGGGACCTCAAAATATCAGTGAATGTGTCGGGAAGGCTCGTGG